GACTATCAGATTCATCCCTGAGGGCTGGGCAAATGCTGCTGCAAACATTATCTGGGTTTTTTGGTCTTAGCAGTGGAGAAGCTGGAGGAGTGGCAGGGTGGGCACTGGAGGCTGAGTAGGAAATGGACTGTGTTCACCGCAATGGCTATGATTGATATGACCCCATCCCTAAGGAGCCAACAATCCTTGGGACTGCTTCATGGCTGGAAGTGACAATCAGTCCCTGATTTTTGCTCTGTCTGAGGTGCAATCTTAATGGCCAAGAGTCTAAGAGTCTAGACTAGCTGATATCAACCAGCCATCCATTTCCCAGGGAGTGGCCTCAAGCAACTCATCAATTAGGGGTCCCCCACTTTTCACTGGTCTAAAATTGGAATAAGCCTCTCAGAGCTTACTGACCCTGCCTCACACCACCCTATTCATCCATCTCCTGCTTTGAGTAACAATTAAGACTCTCAGTTTCAAGTGGCAGAAATCAACTCATACCAGCTTAAAGGGTGGGGCACAGAGGGGAAAATGTCATTGACTGAAGCTTCCTGGGATATGGCTACCAGCACATGGGCACCAAGGGTCGGGCAGCATCATCAGGTTTTGTGCCACACACACTCTTCCACATGGGCGCTCCCAACAGCCCCAGACTTAGCTTCTTCAGCTCAACAACTCTCACCAAAAAAGAGAGAACTCACAAGAATTCTAAGGTTGATTCTGATTAGGTCACAACCCATCCCTGAACCTAGCACTGTGATCTAGGTCATGTGCAAAGTCCCAGAACAGAGGTGAGGATGCGGACACAGAAAGGAGAGACTCATTCCCCAGGGGCAAAAAGCAGGATGCAGTTGCCAACAGAGGGAGAGAGGCTGCCAGGCAGGAAGGAGGGAGAGAATCAGGGGAGACAGGGAGTCCTGAGCTCTGGACTCCATTGTGGGACCCTGGGTGGTTGGCCCTAGGATGGGATACATGAGCCAGCCTGATGGAGTGGGGCCAAGTGGGTAGCCTCTGACCCAACAGTAGAGATACCCTTTCCAGCCTCCTCAGAGGGGCTGTAGGAAATTAATGCTGAGATCACGCTAACAAAGCCAGAGGAAAGAGATGATGCTGGGGGTAGGGGAGAGAATCTTCCCCACCCACTAAGAAGGGACCTGGAGTGACCAAGCTGGGATTAACATAAATGTGAGAAACACAATCTTCCACGTGTTTCTCAACATGGCCTTTATCCTGTGCTGGCCTCTCTGTTCCTAAGTGATGAGAGATGACACTTCCTCAGACTGGGCTGATTCTTAAGGTTAATTGAAAGTGGCCTTTCCCGTGAATCATCCATTGCACTGAATTATTAATCACCTGCAGACATTTGCAGTCCTTTAAACACTTGGACTTCCTGCAACCCTCCTTGGAAATGCTTTTGCCAATGGAAATATAATTTCCTTTGGCCATGGAAAAGAGAAACCCTGCCTGCTGCGGTTTCCAGAGTTCCCAGCTCCCAGACCCAGCAAAGAGCTGAAAACAGGAAGCAGGGCCAGGGCTGTAGGCAGAGCCGGAGGCCATTCTGATATTGGCTCGGGCCAGCCTGGTCTCAAAGGCCCCGTGAGACTGTGGACGGAGCAGAGACTGACCTCAGTGCCTGTTGCTCTAGCCTAGTTCATGGTTATCTTCTGGGGCCCACTGTGAGCCCCTCAGCTGGTCAGTGTGAAAGAGAGGAATGAGGAGGTCAGGTGCCTGATCTAGCTCGACTTCTTACTGGTGTGTCATAGAATCTCTTTGCTTTATTTTCCTCTTCTGAGAGGGTGTGCAGAGCTGACACCAGGCAGGGTTCCATAGGAGCATATCCATCAAGCCTGCTTCATGATGTCCGGGAGATAAGAGGCAACAAGAAAGGTGAGTTCCCGCCTGCTCTTGTCCTTCAGTGGAGGAAGAAAGACTCAAGCCTCAGTGGGCTCACCTGCAGGTGAAGCAGCCAGCAACATAAGTGGAAGCCCCAGCAGCTGGTCTCCAGGGCAGGGCCAAGGAACTCCTGTCTGGTCCCTAGTGTGTTTCCAGGATGAGTATGGTGCATGCACAAGGTTGGCAGGAGCCGGGGGGCAGCTCTTCTTGAGGACACAAACTCTTCATCCACCACTCAGGACAACCTGGCCACATAAGTGGGTACTGGGCATGCAAGTTGAATAAGACATGACCCCTGAATTCACAGAGGTCCTGATCCACTGGAGAGACGGTGACAGGTATAGAGTCCTATACCTGGAAGGACAGGAAGGGCAAGAGCTTCATGGAGAAGGAGATCTGGAGGTTTTTTTTTAAGATTTATTTATTTATGCATAAAAGAACTGGGGTACAGGCCAGAGGTGTGGGGGTGGTGAGAGGATTCACCAGAGACAGAGTTGGGAGTAGAACAGGCAGCCAACCGAAACACACTGCTGAGGGGAGCAGCAGGCCAGTTAAGAGAGGTCTGCTATGCCCTGGCCGGGGATCGAACACGTGCTGCAGTGGCTGTGGATAGCTTCATAGGTTGCGTCTTAACCCCTCGCGCCACCAGGGAGGCCCTGGAGGTTTATTTTGAAGGGGGAAGAGTAGCGAAGGAGGACAGCACCAGGGAAGAGAGTGAACAGCATGGGTCATGGTGGCTGACACATTAGCAGAATAGCCAGAATTAGCTCACCAGTCTGGTAACTGAGCACTACAAAGAAATGGGGGCGGGAGCACCCAGGTACATAAGCATAAGGAGAGAAGCCTGGAAGCTATCAGCTAGGGTGGGCGTAGAGGATGAACTCTGAAAAACAGAGAGGAAGTCGATGCACTGGCCAGGTGAGGGGTGGTAGAGACCTGGGTAAAGTGAGTGGTGATGGAGATGGACAGAAGAACTGGAGGACTTGACCACTGTTTGGATGTGGGGATGAAAGGAGGCCAGACAGGAAGATGGGGACCCTGGAAAGACAGCTTGGGGCTAGAGAAGCATGGGCAGGTCTGGGCCTGGCACTTCCTGACTAGCCACAAAGTATTCTCTTTCCCCGGAGCACTTACTTGCCACCCTACATCCAGAAGAGCCCTAGGCCAAACTAAGCTCAGGCCCAACTGTGGAGTAGCCAGATATGAATGGGTGCCAAGGCCTGAGGGGGCTGGTCAGGTCTGCACACATGGCAGCTGAAGGGCTACCATGCAGGAAGTAGGTGGGCCTTGCTAGCTGTGGCTCCCAGCCTTGGGGTTCACTAAGAGCTCCAGCAGCGGAAGGAGGGAGAATGTAAACAATTGCCCCCAGAGGGCTGCATGCACACTGTAGTCAGCACAATAACAGCTCCAAAGATGTCCATGTCCTAACTCCTGGAACCTAAAAATAGTTACCTTACAACTTTGCAGATATGATTAAGTTAAGCACCATAAGATGGAGAGATTATCCTGGATTATCTGGGTGGGATCCAGGAAATCACATGGGTCCTTATAAGAAAGAAGAAGGCAGAAACTGCCATACTGCCTAACGTACTACCCCCAGCCCCTGAAGAAGCAGAGTTCAGGGTCTGAGTTCTCAAGACATTCCAGCCATTATGGTGGTGGAGGAAAATAACTGCTTCAACCAAGTTCCTTGAGGGGTCCCTGGTGGAGTGGAAAGGAAGGCCCACCCCTCGGGGACAGTGGCTGGGTGAGGGTGTGGAGCCCTGCGTTCTCGCCACTCCACTTTGGCCAGACTCTGCAAAGAGAGTGACCACACTTCCTCTGTACACAGGCAGCTGGAGGTGCCCAGACCCCAGCCCTACAAGGTGAGGGGGACCCCAGTTTGCCACCCATGCCACCTGGAGTCATTCAGGACTCAGACAGACTGGAGTCTCACCCACACTGATGGCCTGGAGGGCTCTCCCTCCCTCTTACCCACATCCCTCCAACATCCTACAATAGGCAGTAGTGCCACCAAGAATCTGGTACTCAGGCTCCCTTATTGGACACAGTTTTCTAGGCTGTAAAATAACAAGCCTGATCCTCCCCCACCGGACATCTCCCATGCTTCAACACACTTACAGCTGCCTCCAGATCTCAAAGGCTCACACCAGAGCCCCCTGCAGGGACACTGGGCCAGCACCTCAGAGGTGTACATGCCAGCTGGGGCGCATGCCCCTGGAAATGTGCACGGGACACGGAGGGCCCTTCCATGACCTTCTGCCAAGGCTCAACTGGTCAGGCCCCATTAGTCTGACAATAATCACTATAATGATAAAGGCTGTGAGTGCAGAGAGGGCCTCAGGCGACTCTGCCCTCTCTCAGATGAGCATCATAGTAATGGTTGACAGGCACTGCACCCCCTTCCTAGGCCTGCCCACAGTTCTAAATGACCCTCGCATATCTTAATCCTATTGCAAAAGTGAGCCCAGAGCACCCAAGTAAGTCGTCCCAAATGGCGCAGTTGGTGAGTGGGGAACCAGAGTTGGCCTCCAGGTGGTCAGCTGCGGAACCCTCGCTTTTCAATGCCTCATTATTTGCTCTACTGAGTAGGCGAAGGAGTAAACTCTAGCGCAGCACGGTGGGCTGGAATCTGGGAAGGCTCCGGGGAACAGGCACGGACCTGGGCCCGGGGTTCGCAGCCTCATCCTGCTGAGGATCAGCGAGCCGCGAGGCCCATCGCTGCGTGAGCATGGCACCTGCCGAGGCCGCCGGGTACGGAAGGGCAGGCGAAGAGCCCGCTGACAGAAGCGGGAGAGCTGCGCCTCGCACCCCACCCGAACCGCAGCGGCAGTGAGCACCGAGCGCGCCTTAGGGTGAGCCAGGAGCAAAGGGTCGCTTCCACAACCGCCTGCGGCCAAGGCGGCCCGCCAGCCCGCAGCTTCGACTGCTGGGTCCCAGCAGCCGCCGCCTGCGCCACAGTGCGCGAGCGAGGCGAGGGCCCGCCCCGTGCCCGCCCGACGGCCGCGCTCTGCGCTTTAAAGCCTCCCGGCGGCAGCCAGGGGTGCCGACTCCAGACACCAAGCCAAAGCCCGCTCCGAGCCACTGTGGAGCGAGCCAGAGTCCGCGCGCCAAGCAGAGCCATGGAGGGTGAGTACCCTGGCCTCCCCGCCCCTGCGCCCAGGCCACCCCCCGGGGACCTTCCACTGCCTCCACCCCATACTCGCTGGGGCGCGCAGACCCTGTCCTGCCCTGCCGCCCTCCTAGCCCGACACCCGGGCAGAGTAGAGGTGCCTGCTCCTCCAACACAGCTGTGCATCAGGAGGTGGGAATCTCCCCTTCTCACCACCCCGGGAGTCCAGGCCCCACAGCCAGAAGCTTCACCCGCACATGACCCGAAGAAGGCACCTTTTTTTGCCCAGCCTGGTGGCTGACTCCATACCCAGTGTCTGAGCACTGCCACAGGCCAGTGGAGCCTCCTAGGTGCCCACAAAAATGTGGGGTGTAGATACCAGCAGCAAAGGGTCCTGTGTTTTAGTTACTCATACCCACTGCCCTCCTTACTTACCCACATCCCTCTTCCCTGCCTCCCACTGACTCCCCTAAGTGGGCTTGCTTTCAGAGAGGGTTGGGCGGATGCAAGGGATTTAGAGATCACTACAGAATTAAAGCATGAGTCCAGCCTCTCAAGAGAATCCAGGTCCCTAGGGATCTAGTGGGTGCAAACCAGGGCATCCTCGCATCCCTGTTTCCCTTAAGTGCACATACCCACACACCCAGGCTCAGCCTCAGTCAGAACAGAAACCCAGGCAGGGAGGATCTGGAAAGAGGTTTCATCTCTATTCAGCAGCACAAGGAAATGGTTCATTTCAGCCAGCATCCCAGATCCGGGGTCTGCTGTTTTCCAAAGGAAACCAAAGGCTCTACCCAGGGACTGAGACCCCAAGGAAAATGGTTTTTCTGCAGCCAACAGAACCCTGGACTCGGGAAGTCTGCTTCTGTGTCACTCCTGGGGTCCAACCCATGGGTAGGGTTGTTGCCTGAAAACTCCCCCAGCAGCCAGTGGTGTGAAAGGGGGAAGCTTTCCCCAGGCATCACAGTCCGGGTGGTCTCTGTCCCCAGAACTGGTGGCCCTGGTGATCGGGGCCAGTGCTGGGGGGCTACTGCTACTGCTGCTGATCGGGGTGAGCTGCTGTCTCTGGAAGAGGTTTCGTGCCACTTTCATCTATGAGGAGCTGCCAGGGACCACGGCTGCCTCCAGCATGCAGGGGGACAATCTCTGCCCGCCAAGTACCAGCACCCACACAAGCAGGTGAGGCAGGACGAGGCCACGTGAGCTTCTGGCCATGCTTAGGACCCTCTTGTGGCGTTTCCCTTGGAGTGGGTGGGGATGGGGGGGCCTGTTTATGACTCTCATCCTCTGTGCCACCATGCTGGGGGCTGAGCGCTATCACAAAGAAACTCAGCATCCTCTCCACAAGCTGAGGCAGGCGTTATAAAGCCCATTTTCCAGCTAAGGGAGCTGTGGCTCAGGGTCCAGACAGCACAGCGAGCAAGTGGCGGGATGGCAAACTCCGGAGGTGGTGCTCCTTCTCCACCTCCCCGCTGCTGCAGGCACTCAACACTCTTGGCTGTGTGTGTGTGTGTGTGTGTGTGTGTGTGTGTGTCCTGGCGTGGGCACAGAAAATTGTGCTCTTGCCTCTTCCTGGCTCACGAGGACTTTTCTTCATCCAAACCCTGGTATTCAGACTCTCTGGGTTATGTGCCCTGAGGCCACACCTTAACCTGCTACTTTATGTTGTTTCCCTACCTCTGAACAGACAACCAGCTGTGCCTTTTGTGGTACCCGCTTCCCTCCAAGGCCGAGACTGTGTGCCCCTGCATAGTAGAGAGTGGGCCCAGGCCCCCCAGTACTCCTGCACAGCCCCAGAGCTCCTGGGCCACACCTCCAGCGGCAGTAGCAGCAACCGTGGTAAGTGCTCCTGCCAGGGCCTGTCCTGGGGTCAAGTTGCTCAAACCATGTGGAACCATCTGCTTTCACTGGGTCTGGCTCCAGAACACAGCCTGGACCACCTAGTGATACCAGAGTTGCCCATTGACCATTCTTTTCAGGTACTTGGGGTTACCATGTGCTCCTGCATCCTAGCCCCAGCATTTCCTATGCTATTTTGGAGTTGGACCACCTCATGCCTTTGGGGATGATTATCACCCCATTTTACACATTCATTAACTGTGACTTGAAAGGTTAATAGTGGCTTGCCCAAGGTCACAGAGTCAGCACCAGATCTGGGGCTGGTACCCCAGTGCATCCCCTGGGTACAGAGCCTATACTGGGTTTGGACTTTGGCCAGTCCAAAGGGTAGAATATGGTAGGAATTGGGCATACAACTTGCTGCCCGCTTTTCAAGACCTCCCAAGAGACCTTCCCAGGAGCCACCCAGTAATCAGTAAGGTCCTTCTAATTTGAAGAGGAAGAAAGGAGGCAATACTCTGTCACTGAGTCATCCTCGGGACCCCATGGAAAGGGGTCAGGCCAGTGCTGGATCCTTACCCCAGAGATAGGGCTCAATCCCAGGGGACAGAGGTTGAATGAACACCGGGACCAGGGAACAGCAAGCTGGCTGTGCTTCCTTGGCCGCCAGAGCTCCCGGCCCCTGTGTCGTAGGAGATGGCTGCATGGTGGGGACCATCAGCCCTGCGCTGTACAAGTTCCCGGAGGACCAGAGTGAAAGCGGCTTCCCGGAGGGCTGCCTGGGACGGCTGTGGTTCTCCGTGGAATACCAGCAGGAGGCCGAGCGCCTGCTGGTGGGCCTGATCAAGGCACGGGGGCTGCAGGCCCCCAAGGAGACCTGCAGTGCCCTGGTGAAGCTCCACCTGCTACCCGACGAGCGGCGCTTCCTCCAGTCTAAGACAAAATGCCAAACTGCTGACCCACGGTTCGATGAGCACTTCGTCTTCCAGGTAGGAACTGCGGAGCAGGCAGGACCTGGTGTCGTCTGGCTTGGGAAGGAGCAGACACTGTGTGAAGGGCCGGACCCAGCTAAGCCTCCCCTCCTGCCAGGCGGGGGCCCACGAGAGCCCTGTCCCCTGCTGGCAGGCATGTAAGAGCCCTGGGGCTGAGAGGGTAGAGGGCTCCTTCCCTCAGGGCTGCCTGGAGAGAAAGAGGAAACACTTCCAGTGTCCACATTCAGCAGGGGGAGCCTCAGCAGATTGGGTGATTTTGTGTGTGGGTGCGGGGGGGGGGGGGTGTTGGGTGGGTGTCTTCTGAAGCCAGCAATCAAGAGCTACCAAGAAGCCTTGGACAACATTTTGAAGCGTTGGGTAGCAGGCTGACTGGCAGGTCGGCATCTGGGAAGAGTGATTGCTGAGGCCAGAACCCCAATTCCTGCCTGCCTTTGAAGCTGAGAGCTGAGTGGAGGGGTGGGGTGGGGCGGGGTCAAGGCTGTAAGATTTCTCAGGTGAGCCTGCTCCTCTCAAGGTCTGAGGGGTGCAGCCTTGCAGACCAGCATGACTGCACATCAAGCTCATATCCTTATTTTTCTTGAGTCATCACTTTCCCGCCTTATGCCAGCTCCAACTTGATCCTGGCCTCTCTGTCCTCTGTGGGGAAGGGGAAGAAGAAAATCAATACTAATTGATCATCTGCCATAGGCCAGACACTGTGATTGAGATTTACAAGGTGGAGAGCAACAACTGCTGTCCCACTTCACAGCAGGAGGCTTCGTCTCAGGGAGATGAGAGCTGGAGTGCCCGGCTCAGCAGAGACAGGCAGGCTCCCTGTCTCCAGGGCCTGTGCTCCAGCACGCGCTCTCACGTCTATGTGCAGACAAATTACTTGGTAGATTCTGCTTCCTGGGTCTGGGCTGGGACTCAAGGGGTTGCATTTCTAACAAGTTCAGGAAGGGGTGGATACTGTTCCTCCCCAGACCACACTCTGTGTGGTGAGGCCCAGTAGTACTGGCCCCAGTGCTGAGAAGGGTCCCCTGAGGATGCCTGACTTTGGGGTATAGAGGTCCCTGGTTGAGACACCCCTCACCGAAAAAGCTCCTGTATCCAGGACAACATGCACACCATTCAATCCCCTGCCCCCCATCAGATCCCAGCCCAGGTCTTTGTCCCCCTCAGGTGTCCAGCAAGAGCATCACACAGAGGGTACTGAGGTTCTCAGTGTTCCACGTGGACAGACAGGGGAAGCACCAACTCCTGGGTCACGTGCTGTTCCCCCTGAAGAATGAGACCCTGGTAGGCAACTGCCCGCACATCGTCTGGAGAGATCTGGAGGCTGAGAGCCTGGAGGTAAAGGTCAAGGTCACTAGACATAAGCCACCTGTATAGACTACTGGGGGCAGGCAGCAGGGGCACCCCGCACCTGTTGACCAGTGTCGGCCTTCAATATACTGCCCGTCACCCCTAGAGTGTGGCTCAGGGTGGTGGACCTCAGACACAGCGCATGTGATGAGTGAGGGGAAGGATGGAGTCACTTCTGGGCAGGGTAGGGCCTCTGGGGGTTCTTCTGTGCTAGCGGTGAGTCTACCTGAAGGAACCTGGGAAACGCACGCTTGGATTCCCATGCAGATCAGACATCTGAGAAGGGTACCACCCAAAGGGGTCAGCCAAGGCAACTATTTACCCATGTTTCCCTGGCCCCAGGAACGCCTTGAGCAACTCGGAACCCTGACTGAACCCTCAGCTTTGCAGCCCTCAGTTTCCCCGTCTATAAAATGGGGGGTGACTTTAAAGGGGAGGGATGTGGGCGTCACGTGGTAGCCGGGCCTGACTGAGAGAGGAGGAAGGATTTCTTCAGCACCTCCAGCACCTGCCAGGGTGACAAGGGTGCTTTCCTCGCTACCTCTGCAGCCGCCCTCAGAGTTTGGCGACCTGCAGTTCTGCCTCAGCTACAGCAACTGCCTGAGCCGCCTCACCGTGGTCGTGCTGCGTGCCAAGGGCCTCCAGCTGCGGGAGGACATGGGTTTTGCCAGTAAGTTTTCCTGCTGGGGCCTATCCTGCCCTGTGAACTTGGGGCCTGGGCCGCCCATCCAGCCCATCGTGGTGTGCTCCCTGCCCCTCAATCTCGTCCTCCCTCTGTGGACTGTTATGGTGTGAGAAGCTACTTCCTTGTGTGGAACCTAAGGCTGAGGCCCCTTGGGCTCCACCAAGACCTAGAGACACTTATGACCAAGTCTGCCTCCTCTCCCCCAGGCAGCATCTTGGCTTCTTAGACCATGCTGCCCCCTCCAGCCCTGCCCTTCTAGGTGGGTTGCAGTTCCTCCAAAGCAAGGCCCTCCGGCTCCCCGGCCTCGGGGGTGGGGTAGGGGGGCCTACACATGGAATACAGCTGGAAGCAATGGCACCCCAGGGCAGCATGTTGCACTGCTCCCCTGGCCTCCCAGGCTCCCCGGCCTCCCAGCTACCCCAGCTCACCCCTTGCCCCCCATTCCTGTGTGCCTCCAGCAAGGTGGTAGTGGTCTGCCACCCACTTTTGATCCACTAGGGATCCCAAACGCATCTCAACCACAGCCCTCCAAAACTTGACCCTCTAAAGGAGGCGTTTAAGGGAACGCTGAGTGTCTGCGCACCCGGCAGACAACATCCGCCCCCCCCACCCCAGGCAGGGAGGGACAGGCAGGTGGTGCCAGGCTCCGATAAACAAGAGCCAGCCCAGCCACAGGGGCACTCAGGAGACGAGAGGAAGGAAGGGGAAGGGAGCTGAGCATTTCCTTGGCCCTAAGTCCATGCGCTAATCAGCCCGGTTTCCTCTTACAATGCCGCCTGATGGCAGTGGCTGTGAGTAAGGGCATCCTGGCGCCCGCAGTGGGCATGTTCCATCCTAGCCAGGCCTCCCACAGGCTGGGTGCTGGGTCCCTCCCCACCTCTCCCAGCCTGCTGTCTGCACTGCCCCTCAGGTGTGTTTGTAAAAGTGTCTCTGATGAACCAAAACAAGTTTGTCAAGTGCAAGAAGACTTCAGCTGTGCTGGGCTCCGCCAACCCTGTGTACAGCGAGACCTTCAGCTTCAAGGTGTACCCTGCCGAGCTGGACACGGCCAGCCTCAGCCTGATGGTGCTGCAGGGCACAGAAGGGGACAGTAAGCCTTCCCCCTCCCACACCCCACCCAATTAATGTTGGGGCAACTGTCAAAGGCGGGACAGAGCAGCAGGCAGAGTGAACCCTTGGAGGGAGGTTTCTGTTCTAAGGAAACTAGTGCTCAGAGAGGCTGACACGCATGCCCAAGAACACAGGGCTTGCTCGTGGGAGAGCTGGGATTCTCATGCAGCTTTTGTCCATTTTGAGCATCATGGCACACTAAAAACAGCAGGGGGGAAAGCCTCTGCTACCGCCTCCTGGGCAAGTCACAGCAGCAGGGAGGCCGTATGGCTGCCTGCACCCAGCTAAGTGACCTGCTGCTGTGGGTCATGGTGTGCCCTGCATTGTCTCATGCCTTCCAGGCAAGCCTTGAGGATGGTGGGTCAGGTCTGGGATACAGACATGTTGGAGTTACTCCATCCAGCTTTCCTGCACTGCCCCACACCGCAGGGTCCCTTGTCACTGGGGAAGCAGAACCGTATCATGGGCCAGAGCTTCAGCTCCTTCTCCACTGTGGGAGCTGGTGGGAGAAAAGTTGAATGTCACCACTGAGCGTACAAGTGGACTGATGAAAGAGAACTTCTTTCTGGAGGGCCCCCGCCCTCTCTGTTCTTCAATATGAGGCAGACTTAACAGGTCCCACCAGGAGGGTGAGGCAAAGTGGGTGCCTCAAAGGGCAAGCTATTCACCTCGGCCAGCCCCAGCACCAGAGCAAAGTCAGGGTCACTTGGGGACTGCCAGCTCATGCTAGAAGGGGGGTAGGGGGTTGCTACTTCCTTCAATGGGTGGAGTAATAGAGACACACTAGGGGTTTCTTGCTCCAGAGAATAATGGTGCTTTGCCTCCCTGCAGAGAGCCACCAGCTGGGCCGGGTAGTGGTGGGCCCCTACATGTATGCCCGTGGCAGACAGCTGGAGCACTGGAACGAGATGCTCAGCAAGCCCCAGAAGCTGGTGAAGCGCTGGCATGTACTTTGCTGCACCACTGTGCCCTGAGTCCTGGCGGGGATCTCGGGTCTACTACACGCTCTCCTCACAGTCACGCCCAACACCCGCAGGCCTGGATGCTTCCTCCCTCATCCCCTTGAGCTGCAGGGCCTGCAAGACCCAGGGGAGCGCCAGTGCTGCTGATGGGCAGGCACGGAGAGGGGACAAGAGGCCCCAACCCTCCTGATTCACTCCATCCTTTCTCATCTGTGACCCTGAATCCTGGTACGTGGCCATCACTGTCCCAATCTGGACCGACGCGTCAGACATTCTGAAGAAATACTCTGTTTAGAGAGAGCCCCGCTATGTATGCTAAATGGAAGTGCGGGGTACACTTGGGTTCCATCGCAGAGAGCTGAAGACGTGTTGATGCTAAACCTGCAGTTTTTCAGCTGTGGTTTCTCTGTCTTCAGCCTAACAGAGCGAGCAAAGTGCTGGGGGGCTGCGGGGGAATGTCCACTGTGCTTATTTCAGTCGGTCCACAATAAATAGCAGTGTGAGAAGTGGGTTCCGCCTATAGGTTGGAGCCATGCCAGGAGGCCTGGGCGGCACAGAGTGCCCACAGCTCAGGAGGGAAGCTCTCAGGGACTGCAACTCGCTGGCCTCGGCACCTGCACAAGAACGCCATGAGCCACCCACCCAGGCTCCGCTGCCTCTGCCAGGTAAGGGGTGCCTCACCTATGGATGTCAAATCCAGCCACCGTCATTCCAGGCACTCTGCCCTTCACCAGCTTCAGATCTTGCCCTGGGCCCACCATTCCTGGAGTCCTTATGCCCCTGCTCTTACGGGTGTGCTGCTGTTGGGTCTCCCTGGTTCACGGCAGTCAGCTCCTGGGGCTTTCACTTAGCACAGGAAATGGTGGGAACATGTGGCCAAAGTGTAGCCCCCAGGGCTGAGGGCTTTTCCTATAAACCTTGTAATTTAATTCCATTATGATTACTGTTGTGGTAGGTGTCGGTGACCACTTTCACTAGGGTGGAAGTGCCCACAGGCCACCCCGTCAACTCCCTGTGATGCTGTACTCGGGTCACGGGGAAGTCCTTTTGCTTGTCACTTGTTACTTAACAAGCAGTTTGTATTTTGCCCCCTAGTGCTGTGGAACTTGCAGAGTCATTGTGTTACTACATAACTAGAACAAAACTGTAAACCAGAATCATCTCTTCTTAAGCAATGAAGCAACTTCAGCAAGAGAAAAGAGTTAACGTTCATTTCAGTTTGTGGCTCTTTGCCTTCACTTCCAGTCTGTGAATGCACAAACTCAAGCTCTACCTGGCCCTGGTCCATGTGGACAGAATAACATGTACTTGTTTTTACTCACTTATTTCACGTGCAGATTTTCAATGTAGTCCACACTCCAGCAATTTCTAATAGCACAATGCACACAATTGGAGTTTCCCATGTGTTTGTATAGCAGGCTACTAAAATGAAACTGTTCCCATTCACTGGGGATCCTGAGACAGTCGGTGCCAACCACTTCCACACTTCAAGTGAGATTCATGCCTATCAGTGGCCTTCCCAGTGAGATTCATGCCTATCAGTGGCCACTTGGAAAAGTTGGTAAGCATTTCCTTTGCAGGACAGAGCGGACTGGTGTGTCTGACTCAATAGCAAAAGGCTGGCAGACCTGTGCTCTGATGGGGAGCAAATGGGGCTGTGCATTGGGCTGGCTGCTGTCTATAGACATGGACAAGACAAAAAATATACAGGATTTGGATTGTCTCAATCCTGTCCAAAGACCATAGTTCACGTTTTGGTTCACTCTTGGTATTGTACAGACTATGTGTGTGAACAGATTATAATGTGATACATTACTATATTTTTAAAATATGTTTGCAGTCACGTTCGTAAAACATTTTTCTATAATTTTTTATTGTAATGCCCTTACACGTAAAAAAGATACATGTTCTGCAGCTATACCTAAGTGGTCTGTGTATTCCTAAGGTCAAGTTTGATAAACAGATTAATCTATCATCTGTACCTTTACTGATTTTTTTTGGCCTTTTCCTCCTCATTATTGAGAGGCTAAAAATGTCCCCCTGTGATTCTGGGTTTCTTTATTTCTCCTTTTAATTTGGTCAATTTTTGGTTCTATATATGTTTTATGTTATTAGGCTCATACCCATTTAAAACTGATATTTTTCTAGGGGATAGAACCTTTTATCATGAAAAAATGGCTCACTCAACCACTCATACTCAAACTGGCATTTTTTTAATTTACCCTACTTTTTTCAACTTCCTTATATCTATGGTGTATTTCTTAAACATAATTTTGTATCAAGTCTGTCAACTTCTTTATTTTGTGTATTTGCTTCATTTACATTTAATATAATTACTTGTATAGTTGCATTCATGTGTGTCATCTTGTTTCCATTTTTCATATCTGATTTTTTTTTTCTCCTATGTTGCCTTCTTTTGGATTAAGTCATTTTCATTTTATTCTTTCTCTCTCCACCCATTAGCTGCTACTTACAGTCAGTTATTATTCCTTTAGTGGTTCCCCTAGAAATTATAATTGACATCCATTATTTATTACAGTCTAATACAAATTTTGCTTTTTTATCACTCCCCATATAATGCTGTGGTCTTAAAACACTATACTCTACTTAGCTCTATCCCAATTTCTTTGTATTATTAATGTATTATTAATGTTAATTCCACTTATATTTTACACATAACAAGACATTACTGTTATTGCTATATTCAATAAATATTCACCTATATTCACCCACACATTAAGTCTTCCATTTGCTTTTTATTCTTTCCTGCATTTCTGGGATTCTACTTGAGATCATTTTCCTTCTACCTGAGGAACATCTCTTTAGTATTTCTTTTAGTACAGATGTGCTGGAAGCATATTTTCTCAGTTTTTTAATCAAAATGTCTATTTCAAATTCTAAGATATAGAATTCTAGGTTGACATTTTCTTTCTTTTAGCCATTTAAAAATGGTATTCATTCTCTTCTCATTTCCATCATCTCCATTGACAAGTGAATTATCAGTGTTATTGTTTCTCCTTTGAAAATATGTGTCTCCTCCTATTCCCCTTCCCATTTTTAATATTTTCTCTTTCTTTCATTTCTAATAGCTTAGGTATAGGTAGTCCCTAGATTGATTTTCTTTTTATTTACTCTGCTTTGGTGTCAAAGTTTCATCAGTTTTGGAAAGTTCTCAGCCTATATTTCTTTTTTTCTTTCTTTCTTTTTTTTTTTTGTGGGACCCTCGCCGGCGGCCGGGGAATGAACCCGCCCTGCAGAGGCTACCGGCAGCCTAGCAGCCCAGCACTCAACCGCTGCACCACCAGGGGAGGCCCAGCCTATATTCTTTAAATAGTGTGTCTGCTTATTCTTCCTCTCTTCCTGAGATCCCAGTTACACATGTTAGCTCTTTCCACAACTTCCCTTAGGACTCTTAGGCTCTTGGTTGTTTTTATGAAGACAGCTGAGTTTTCATGCTGTCCTATTAACCTTCAATAAATCCTCTGTCTCATTGTAGTTAACCTATACACTGAGTTCTTCATTTAAATGACTGCATCTTTTCAGTCCTAAGTTTCCATGTAATACTTTGTTATAGATTACAGTCTTTTCATGAAAATTTCTATTTTATCAGTCAAGTCTGAGTTGGATAACACTAGTATCTGGGTCACTGCTGGGCTAGTTTTCCTGTGTTTATGGTTCCCCTCTTGGCCCTGTGGCAGCCTGCTGCATGCACCAACCGAGGAGAGCATGCAAGTGAGGGGAAGCCTAACTGCAAATGAAGCTGGAAGTGTAGACTTCCCACCACATGAGATGGGATATTTTACATGCTGAGCAGAAATTGTTTTTTGTAACCGGGAGTTACAGGAAAAATGTATTGTTACCAAGAGTGATCAAAAAAGTCATAGGACTTGCTTTAGATTTTCTCCAAAGAGCAAGGAGAAGAGAGCTGTCGAGCAGGTTTGAACGGGTAACTGGGGAAAAAAGGATGAAGTAGTCTGTTAATTACATTTTATAAGCCTGACTCTTTCAACATAATATGCTTCTTAATTGAATTTCGTATGCCATTATGAAGACAGATTGTAACATCCGCCAATTGTGGGTTCTTTCTCTAATTTTAAAGAATGGAATTATGTTCCAAGATCACTCTTCTCATCCCCACTTTTAGCTTATTTCAAGAGGTATTTTCTCAAAGGGGAAAAAGAAACTAGCTCTTGGGAACCTCCTGCCCAGCAGCCCACGAGAAAATACCCCCACATTTAAAAAAAGAACGTGCGCATTAGCAAGGAGGTGTCATTTTTCAGAACCCTTACCTAGGAAGTGGAGGAGCTGAAATTTCAATAGATTCCAGGTGTCTGGAAGTGGCATCATTATTACATATTGCCAGAGAGATCCCAAAAAAGAGATTGCGCGTCCGTGCCACTGTCCCATAGCTGGAAATCTATGAAAGGGCCTTTAGGTGCCTATTACATAGAGCTGCTCCCGTTTGTGCAGTTCTTAGTTGCTAGTGAGACTGTGCACTTCTCTACCTCTCTTCCTCTCTGCCTTCCACTTCCCTTTTCCCCTTCCTTTCTTCTCCCTTTCATTCCTCTTCTCTAGCCTTAATTTCTGCCCCCCTCTTTTCTCTCTCCCCTTCCCATCTGTGTAAATTACCTGTTCATCTCCATTGATGAGAAAGTATAATCTCACAAGTGACCAGAATTTATTTCTATCAGCCCTTTGTTTTTGATAATATCCTTTACCAGTTTGATGACTGCCAAATCTGACAGAGAGAAGGAAGACCCAGGGGTGGGGCACTGATGCAGACCAGGCTGAGGCCTGCAGTAGGAGTTGCCCATGTCAGGAAGGACAAGAGAACATGACTGACAGGCTGAGCTGGCCGCAAGGTTCCCAGGAACAAGGCATCCAGGACGTGCAGCCCGAGTGGAGGGGTCTCGGGCTTGGGAGGACTGTGGTGCAGCTACCAGGAATCAGGGAGATAAAAAACAAAAAGCGTGAGCCTTGCGCCGTCTCCAGCGCCCTCTACTGTTCAGTGTTAGAACTAGCATCAGCGAATTTCCTGAAGGGAAAAGCATCAATAGTTCCCTGAATGTCAGCTCACTTCCTTGTTTTCCTTCTTCTGAGATCATGGACTGTCAAATGCTTGTCAATTTGGCAGTTCTTCAATAACTTAAAAAGAGGTGCTCCTGGGTACATATTCTAGTCATTCGAAATAGTGACATTTTAATTTACATAAAACTTCTTGTTTACAACTACATATTTTTCTTCTCAAATCATATGCCCACCATTTCTAACGCTGCACAGACACTTCAGAAATATATATAATACATACATAGTATGTTTGTCTGAATTTTACGAGAACATATATATGGTTAGTATAAAATACAAACAACTCAAGTGTGCAAATGACCTGAGCAGACACTTTACAAGTGAGTTGTACAGATGGCAAATAGGCACATCAAAAGTTGCTCATCATCATCAGTCATCAAAGAAATGCAAAATGAAGCCACAAGATATCACTTTACGTTCACTAAAACAGAAATGATCAACCCTCCCAAATGTTGGCAAGGATGCAGAAGAACTGGAACCCTCATAGATGGCTTGTGAATTATACAGTTTGGATCACTGCTTAAAAGTCTCTTGTAAAGCTAAATAAACACCCATCCTATCACTCTCACCCTGGTATTTACCCACCCCCTCCAAATCAAACCACAGTGAAAACATGTTCACACCATAAAAAGGTGTGCACAGCGGCTATTCATAACAGTCCCCTCTGGAAACAACCCAAATGACCTTCAATGGGAAAATGGGTGATGTAGTATTTTCATACATTTGTGTAGTACTCAGCAATAAAATGAATAATCTGTTGATTAAAATAAAACCTTCAGGGAATCTCAAAAACATTGTGTCAAAACAGAAGCCACAAAGGAATGATTTCATTTATATGAAGTTCAAGAACAGGTGAAACTAACCTATGGTGCCAGAAATCTGAATAGTGGTTGTCTCTTAGGGATAAGGAATGACCGCAAGTAGAGATGAGGGGAGTTTTAATGGGATAGAAATGCTCCATTTGTTGTCTGGGGTGTTGATTACATGAATGTATTTGCTAAACTCAGCAAACCTTACATTTAAGACTGTATTTTGCTGTACATGAATTTTTACTCAATTTTTTTAATAAATTCTAGGGAAAAAGAATTTGACTGATCCAATAGGGAATTTGTGTTTTCTAGAAATTAGGAATTCCATTAGATAAACAAACAACTGCAAAACCGTATTTCCATATTAAATCTTTCTGCTAATAATATTTATAGTGGTTGAAATTCACTTTAACAGTTTCTAGATCTTTTCTTAAAAACCGTGAAGTGGATGAAAAAATATCACTGATTCCATAGCAACCTGAAAGCAGAGGTGACCCCCTGGCAAATACATTCCTTAAGAATTAGCTTCTCAATAACAAACCAGGTTCAAGACCTCCAAAGACAGAATGACAACTAATTGGCAAACCTCATTCCCTTTCACAGATTTCTCCTCTTGTTAACATTAAAATAGTGGCCAGATTAAACTGCCAGGAAAGATGAACACTTTATTCTAATTGTTCAGGTTCATGGCCTGTATTGTGTTATCTAGAAACGCTCCAGGACACAAATGTATCATTCAAAGTGAAAGGCACAGATGATAATTTCTGGAGATAGTTAGATTCCTCCAGACAGGAGGAAGTAATTTTCAGGCTAAACAAGAGTTCCTGGAAATACCTATCAGTCTCCACCATGAAATATACATTGAAGGCTATGAAGAAGCAATGGCATGACCTGGTGTTGTCTCACTTGAAATGGCTTTAAGACACCTTCGAGGGCCTCCCCGGTGGCGCAGCGGTTGAGCGCTGGGTTGTGAAGCTGTCCGCAGCCTCCCCGGCGCCAGTTCGATCCCCGGCTGCTCCTCAGCCACCGGAGGAGGGTCCCACATGGCGCGCAGACCTCTCCTGCCGCCCGCTGCTCCCCTCAGCAGTGTCCTTCGGTCTTTCTGCCTGCTCTGCTCCCCGCTCTGGCTCTGGTGAATTCTCTCACCTTCCCGCGCTTCTAACTGTACCCAGTGCTTGTATAAATAAATAAATAAATCTTAAAAAAAAAAAAAAAAAGACACCTTCGAATATGATGTGAAGAATCATCTACTCCAGACAACTATATTTGGGCTGATATAAGGATTAGGCTTATATTGACTGGACAGAGCTTATACCAGTATTTGGAATTTGTTTCTATTGTGGTTATGGTTGAAATAGCATGGGTTAGAAATCATAAGCTCCAGACTCATGTTTCATCATCCATTAGATGAATTATGCAGGGAAGCCAATTATTTTGTTGGAATTCAGTATAATTAGATACAATAAATCTTAGCAGCCATTTGATCTAATCCCCATATGTTCCCCAGGAATTAACTCACCAAGTAAAGTGTTTGTTCCTACCATTTTTGGTTTTGTTTGTTTTGTTTTGTTTTATTTGTTGTTTGTCAAAGATACCTCTATGGATTTGTTGAAAACTCTGGACCCTTCTCCACAGAAAAATGTGCCTTTGTGCAGGTACTCTCCTACACACTTTTTCGTATTATTTTTGGAAGAATCACAAAACTCTTGCTAAATCTTTCTGCTAATAATATTTATAGTGGTTGGAGTTCACTTTAACAGTTCCTAGATCTTTTATCAAAAACTATCAAGTTGATGAAAAAATATAACTGATTCCTTAGTAACCTGAAAGCAGAGGTGACCCCCTACCCAAGTCAAGTTTTTAAAAACTTGAATTGCAGAAAACAATTTCAGTGAACTAAAATTTTTTAAAACAGAGTAAAATAAACATTTCATTATGAACATAGTTATTTCCAAGCAATATCATTACCCTATTAACACTCAGCATGCTCCAAGCTTACAGTGAAGGACCACTCCACATTTCCTTATCAGTGGTTACCACTCCCATGCACTCCTACAATCATGAGAGAACAAACTGCTATATGTTTGCTGGCAAATAAATTCAGTAAAGGACTCAAATTCCAGAAATGAACTAACAATAGGACTCCTTTCCTTTATAATGACTTGAAACAACATCTATTTCCTTCATTTCCAATGTTTCTTTAGGGAAAGACATGCTTGTCTTGAACTTGTCTAAACACAGACTTACACAAATGAATCTATAATCACGTACAGCTATAATCAGGTAAATCATTTCATGTCAATAGTTTACTAGAGTAGGAAATAAGGGAAAGAAACACCTGTGGATAGAGCAGGAGCAGAGAAGCAATTCCTGAGGAAATATCTTATATCTGTATCCCCCATGCTCGATAGAGCCTGGAGTAGAGCCGGGACTACATAGAGTGACCCTTTCATTCACAGGGAACTGTGTATGTATTGCCCTTATTGCTAAATCATCTCTCTTAGAAGCAAGAGAGGGAGAAACCAGAAGTCAAGAACAACAACAAAAAAACTAACAATATTTCTCAGAAAAAATAGTTTTAATTTACATATTTAGCACAAGTATCTTTATAAAACATTTAAAAACTCAAGTCCCATTCCCTTTATTTCAAGAGACAAGTCATTTCAGTATTTCTTCTGTGAAGTGCCTGCAATTTCTTCATTGGTCTCAGGAAGGGCATAGGATGTCTGCTTTACTACGGTGTCAGGATAAAAATCCAGTAAGGAGAAATCTTGTTGCAATGGGTAGCTGTTTTCATCTAGCACAAAAAGGCTCTGCACCTTCATGACACAAGGTGCCCCGCCGCCCGCCAACAAGGAGTGGAATAAATCTGCCGTGACCATGCCATAGGTGATCCCTGAGGAAGGGGCTGAGGAAGATCAAAACACACAGAGCTCTCAGTGTCCCTTCCAGGATGACAGGAAGGCACATATTAAAAGGGTTCATTACTTCCCCTGTTGTCTCAAATCCCAAACCCACTTTAGATTTCTCTATCATTTCTCTCTCATGTCACAGGTTGCTGAAAGTACTCGTGAATGATGACACCAATTCCTGCTGGTCATAGCAAGGTACAGATAACCCACTCTTTAGTCTAGCAGCATATCCTATTATGGCACAGCCATTGGTTTCTTAAAACAATAGAGGAAGGAGGGCCTCCCCTGGTGGTACAGCAGCTGAGTGCTGGGCTGCAAAGCTGCCTGCAGCCTCTGCAGCGCTGGTTCAATCCCTGGCCGCCGGCAAGGGTCCAACATGATGCGGCAGACCTCTCCTGTCTGGCCCACTGCTCCCCTCAGCAATGTATTTTGTCAGTCTGACTGTTCTGTTTCGCGCTCTGGCTCTGGTGAATTCTCTCACCCTCCCACGCTTCTGACTGTACCCAGTGCTTGTATAAATAAATAAATAAATCTTAAAAAAAAAAAAATAGAGGAAGGAACTGAGATTAATATTTTCCTAAGTTAAGCCTGAACCAAAAAGGGTGTGTTCATATCAGAATACTACTCTCATATTTACCAGCCTATAGTTCTTATCACAGCTATATATACATAGTTATTATTTGTATAACAGAACCCTGAATCAGTTACTTAATGAATATCAAAACTTGATAATATAAAAACACTAAAATTGTAAGTAAATACATCATTGTATTTGACAATTATCCTGTATTAGTCCTCTCATATTTTTAGGACAGCTAATCAAGTTATTTAGCAAGCTGCTCAACAGCAAACTGACAAGGCATCATTGATTATGCCAAACTATCCTACTTCCCTGACCAATGCCACCAGCCTTTCTCAGATTGGGTCATTCCTGGAGGACAATGATATATTTTTGGAGGTCTGAGAATCATCTACAACAATTAAATTTTTTGTATTTCCCTTTGATAAGATAAAAAATAATCAAGATTAGTGATAATCTGAAGACTCTGATGACCACTTAACTGGTGTCATATTTTCACTTATGGTTACACTTTCATTAAACACAAGTATGACTGTCATTCTGAGGAATACACTAATCATAGAAGTATGTTTGATATGAAAATGATGTTTCTTTGACAAATAAAGACTAACTGACATTGCACAAAAAAATGAAGAGACAAGATTAAAAATATAATAAAGAACATCAAGAAAAGGATTGAAAACTGTCAAAAAATGAAATAAAGTAGTGAAAGAGAATGGAGAGACTTCCAATACAAAAAGCTGGAAAGAATGTCACTCCCACACAACCATTACTAGAAAAAGCTGAATAAATTACAAAATCACTATCTTCTTGAACATACAAGAAAGTGGAAGTTGTGCAGTGGCCAAGAAGACTGAAATGTAAGGAGAGAGAGAACTGCAGGTTTCCTGGAGCAGAACTCAAGGGGAAGACAGGTCCACCAGACATGCAGGAAAAAAGAATGTGCCTAAATTTTTAATGAATTGCTAAAAGCCAAGTAAGGGGCAGCACTACAGATAAGAGGAGTTATCATTCTCCCAGGCTCTTCTTGCCTCTACCAAGCACTCCCAAGGATGGGCAAAGGACAAGACATCAGAGAAAGCTTCCAACTATGGTGAAGATCTGGAGAGGGGAGAAAGTGTCACATGAAAAAAGCACAAAACACCACTTATGACTTCCCCTTTAAGAAATATAAGCCTTAGGTATGTCGAGATGGTGTACTCCTAAGGAAGTGGGAAGCTCTCCCCTACATCACATACCAAGTTACCCAAACAGTAAAAAACAAACACAATTTTTAAAAAAGAAACAAACAAAAGTCTTAAATTGCTGGAGGAAGGACAGCAAATCCTGTGACCTCCGGGAAGAGGTGAGAACCCACCAAAGTTAGGGAAAGATAAAAGAAAAATCCCTCTGTCCCTGAGGCAAGGATAGAAAACCATCCTTTGTGTCCCCTAAGCTGAAAGAGGGGCAGAACCACACAGACCCACCAAAGATACAAGGCCGAGCTAGGCTGCCCTGGCAGGAGGGGCAAGGTTCTTGGGACAGGGCCACCTCTAAGGCCAAGTCACAGGGCTTGAGTAAGATTACTCAGAAATGGGAATCGCTCCTGCTCCCTCCAACAAGGCTAGGATGCACCAAATAACTACCAACAAGCCTGTACAACTTGGGAAGGCACAAGAACTCAGAGAACTTGGAGAGAAGTTCTCTGAGACTCAGGTGCAGAGTGAAAGGTTTAAGCTAGTGATGAAACAAAAATATTAGGGAAAACAGCCTGTGGCAAATCACTCCTTCCATGAGGATAAGATAATGCTAGAGGAACTTAGAGCCAGTGGTGACCTAAAGGTAACAGTAATAACAAACTCAAATCCAGCTCAATATCTGACAAGATTGACTCTACTCAGCACATTCCTCACACTCAGTAAGGATCTAGGGAAAAAAAGCCATGCCCATTTCAGGTACAAATTTTCTTTACCTCAGCCTGCACTGTTCTATATGCAGTATTTCAACATTCAAGCAAAAATCACTGGACACATACCAAAAATGCAAGAAAAAAAAATCCACTGTTAAGAGACAAAGCAATCAATAGAACCAGATTAGCTCATCTGCTCAGAGTCTAATGAGGAAAATGAGGCTAATGAGGAAAAGTATGGAGTCTGATCATCTGACAATGGGTTATTTTTGCTTTGATGCTGACCACTGACTATTCCTAACATCATAGCTGAAGATCCTGTAAATACACTGATAGTGGGCTGTCTTCATAAATACAGTTTCACACATTCAATTCCTTAACTATTATAAAAACTGAGGTCCTAGCATGTTTGCTTAGCATTAGAAATTTAGAATGTGGAAGATTAAATGCTAGCTTCCCTCTATTCATGTTCTGAGACAGGTGTGGAGCAAGTCTTACCTTCCAATTTACATAGACTTTTGTTTCACCAAGTGAAATTATCTTTCTGCTTTTAGAAAGCAAAAAGAGAAAAAAAGAACTTAATTTATAGTATAGTGGCCTTTTGTTCCAATATACTATCTACATTCCTGAAATGAAAGATTTCATCAACAACCTCTTGCTGTTGTGTTGATATTTTACCTATAATTCTGTTGAGGTAGTCAGGAGGAATGTTGAGAAGAATCTTCTCTATCAGCTTTGCTCCTACGTGGACACAAATTGTATTTCTTCCATCATGTATGGTCATTAAAGCTGGCCTAAAAAAAAAAGTAAACAGTACTTAACTTTCAAAAAGATTTTCAAATGAAGAAATGCTTAAATGCAATATAAGCTCTGGATGAAAGTCCCTAGGACTTGCCAGTAGATTAGACATGGGATGAAGAAACCAGTAAAGGGTTTGATCACCCTTGATAATTATCATGCCTATAAATCTAGCTCAGACCTCTTTTATGATTTGTATCTCTGTATCTACTTTCCAGATTTCTACCTCTCTGAACCTCAAACTCAATATCATCATTCCTCCCATTGTTACTTATCTAAGTAAATTATCTTATTCATCCAATTATAAATGACCTGTAATATATCCTTAATCTCCCTTCACCTGCCACATAATCACTAAATTTTGCCAATTGTGTTTCCCAACTACTCTCAAAATCTGTCCATTACCATTATACTTTCATCAAATGACCTTCATCACTCCGCTAAACAAAGCCTCTTTACTCAACTCTGTACGTAGCCTCATTCTAATCCACTCTCCAATGTACAGCTAAACTTGCTTTAAAGAATATAATTTGGCAGAAGTGATACCATAGGACGTCTGAGCTATTCATAGGACGTCTGAGCTATTCATTTTGAGAGAAAGTTCAGGCAGCCTGTGGAGACACCCATATGAGAAGGAATTCAAATTGACTATGAGTGCATTACCTTAGAAGTAGGCCCTCCAACCCCAATCAAGCCTTCAGATGACTGCAGCCTCAGGAGAGGCCCAAGCATTCCCAGTTGCCTTACCTATAGTATATTTTCTTCATAGTAAATGGCAAGCAGCTAAAACACTGTTTGTAGATCTTGTTCTCATCTGTTTCTAGTTCCAATCCACATTTTGCACAGCCGGTATATATAATGTCAGAAAGAGAAGAGTAAATACTCTTCAGAGAACTGTGAGCATTCAGAACTATCTTCTGAGCTGAGGTAGCAGGAAACACTAGCTCTAAAATCTGGGCTTTGATTAGAATGACTCCTAAAAAAGACAAACAATACTTTAAATTACAGAGCTAAAATTATAACTTTAATTTACAAACATGGTTAATGATATAGTTGATTTACAGTTACTTATAATAAAGAATACACTGAAGGTCATGGTCTTGGTCTTGTTACTTTTTTTCTAGACACACTCACTCATGATTCAGTATTTACTCTTCAATGTAAGGGGTGACCTCCCAACAACTGAGAGTGAAAATTTATGACTAGTCTAACTGATATAATAAAAGTTTGACAGTATAAAATTTTTAAGCTTTCTCATCTGTATTTATCTTCCAGAAATATTAATCTAAATTATTAGAATTAATTAATGTAGAACTGGATATAGAATTTCTTCTCTGAGAAACTGTATTCAATTAAAAGTTGGGTTTTTTGAGAGGTGCTGTTTTCATATCCTTATTTGCATTCTCCTTAGCTTAGCTGTATAATGTTGTAACACTAACCTATAATCATAGCTTGGAATACACACACATACACACAGATATATAGCTTGGAATATATATGTGTATATATACATATAATATATATTACATATATATATATACACACACACACACAAATTTACACAACTTGTAAAATTTTAATCTGGCATTTCACCTTGGTAGAGTAAGGAACTGAATTTATGCTCCCACCTTCTGCTATAATAAAAAATGGCCTTCATCTTCATTTCCTGGCATACAACTCCAAAACCCTTGAAATCTCCAGAGCGACTAGAGTCTTCAATGCTAATGAGATAAGTGATGACTGGAGCTCATGTGTAGCTTCAGGATGGGGGCTAGTCACCAGAAAAGTCAAGGCAAATTTAGAGGACTGGAACTTTCTCCCCATACTCCAACCTCAGAGAAGGAGGAAGGAGCTAGAGATTTAGTTAATTACCAATGTCCAGTGATTTGACCAATTGTGACTGTAAAATGAGACCTTGATTTAAAATCTTAAACTACAGGGTTCAGGTAGCTTCTAGGTTGATGGACACACTGTGATGCTAGGAGGGTGTTAAAATTTGCCAATATCTGAAATTTTTACCTCAAAACCTTCTTAAAATTGTTTTTATTTTTTGTTTTTTTGTGGGACCCTCACCGGTGGCCGAGGAACGAACCGGCGCTGCAGAGGCTGCCAGCGCTCAACCACTGCGCCTCCAGGGGAGGCCCTTAAAATTGTTTTTTTTAACCTGACACTCTGTTCCACATTTGAAAAGCACTTACTCTGGAACAGCCCATGCTCAGCATATGACACAATTTTTACATTTCTGTAGATGCACCAAGAGGGGGCACAGCAAGATAGTAAAAAAGCCCCAGATATATACTTAAGAATCTTAGCCTGTGATCCCTCAGGAGTTTTAACTTATTTCGTATTGGACCAAATTCTCTTTATTAAAATCTATTCTTATTTCACTTATACCTATACCACATATAGCATTTAACATAGATGGTATAAAATGATCTATAATAACTCAGAAAAATATTCATATAAATGTGAGAATAAAGTTAAAATTCAGTATTATCTAGATCCAAAGTTTCTGAGTTACTTTTAATAACTTGCAAGTGCACCAAAACAAATTCTGAGGAAATTTTTTGACCAAATATTTTCTTCATTAAAAATTTTAAATTACAATAAAACTGCAGATAATATCCCATATTTCCAACCCTTATTTCCTCTCTAAATACATTTACAATAATATCTACCAGTAAACTTTTTATTAGTTTCCAAAACCAGAATCACTGACATTTACTAATTACTGGTATTTAGGAACTAAATGTCATTTAATTTGTTAAACCTTCAACGAGGAGTTTATGTTTTTTTGGAATCATCTCTGTAGTTATGAAGCCAGTGCAATTCAGTGAAAAATTATTTTCCACTGAAATTGTAGCATTTGATCCAGTTATTTTTTTTTAAAGATTTATTTTAGGCATACCAGAGCTGGGGTGTAGGCCAGAGGTGGGAGGGGAGGGGTGGTGGGGAGGGTGAGAGGATTCACAAGAGACAGGGGAGGGGCAGAATAGGGGGATGGGGATCAAACTAGTGCTGCAGTGGCTGATGACAGCTTGATAGTGCTGCGACTTAACCCCTTGAGCCACCAGGGAGGACCAATCCAGTTATTTTCATTACTTTATTCTCTCTTCACTCCAAAGCACATTGCTTATTGAACCAAAAACATATTCTTTTTACCACTTCACTCATAACATATTTGTTTAATTATATTTAGTTAATAGGAAACATGTGAGTATTCATAAAAATTCATCATCAAAGGCATTCTTCCAAGTGCTATGTCTTCCAAGTGCTGAGGATGAATTTTATACATACAAATATATTCAAATTCAGGAAGTATGTCTACATTTTACAAAGCATTAACTTAATTTCACAAACTGCCTATCAATGTTGAATTTTAACAACTGTATATAGATAACAGCTAAGTAACTTGGTAAAGTCACAACATTGACTCATTAGGGTCATTTTTCTATTTCTGATTTATTAAATGATGAGCTGCTATAACTATACAAAAAGTATTCTTGGGCTTCCCCTGTTGGCGCAGGCAGTGAACACAGTGCTGTGAAGCTGTCCACAGCTTGTGCAGTGCCGGTCTGATCCCAGCTGGCTGGCGAGGGTCCCAAATGGCGGGGCAGACCTCTCCTGTCATGCCCACTGCTCCCCTCAGCAGTGTATTTCGTCAGTCTGCCTGTTCTGTTTCCTGCTCTGTCTCTAGTGAAACCTCTCACCCTCCCGCGCATCTGGCCTGTACCCTGGTTCTTGTATAAATCAATCAATTAATCAATCAATCAATCAATCTTCAAAAAAAAAAAGTATACTTAAGTGATCCATAATAATTACAAATAAACTCCAAAAGATTTCAGGCAAAATGGTAATATCCAATATGTGGTTCAGCAAGTTACAAAAATCTATATTTCACTTTTATATTAGATTTTACATTTTCCCACAAATGGTAGCTTCTTTGTTTACATTAAAACCAGCAATATCTTACATATATAAAGAGCTCACCTGAACATTTATCCTCTAGGTGTTTTGCTAAATCTGACATCTTCACAAAGGAGGGCGTACTTTTTTGAAATTTTGCTTTAAATGCAATTGCTCTTAAATCATCATCAAACAAGCACTCACAGGATGACCAGTATGTTGTATGCAATTCTAGGTTTTCTAGGATGCAATTGCGCTGAACATAAAGATATTTAAATTCCCAAATATAATCTTAAACAAATAAAAACAAAAAAAAAATCACTCAAAAGGAAATAATCTAGGCTCAGATTCAGCTTAAATACATTGATCTGATTAAATCAGTTAAATACAACTTTTGTCACATGAAGGAATTTGAGTATAAAGAGACAAAATACAAGTCTGTATTAAAGCAATAGGATAAGGGTGCTAGAAATAATCTTAATAAATTTTTTTTCCAAAGATTTCCTGTTCTCCTAAACAGTCAAAATTTATTTCAACCAACTTTTCTTCAGACTAGCAAATTCCATTTCAATATCTACAGGCAAAGTTTTTTTTTAAATAATAAAAACACAGAAATGGACAAACAACTCTCTATCTCACTATCTCTCATGGAGTTTTCAATATGTAGTTTTCTTATTTTGCTAATTTTTCCATAACAAAAATAAGCATTTAGATACAGTTGCACCCTATTTTTAATTCCCTCAATAATTTCAATTCTTAAAACCACAGTAGCACAGACTTTCTTGTAAATAATCACATTCTATATTAATAAATGCAACTTTTAAATTATATTAAGGCAAAAAGGTTTCTTAGCACTAAGTTTTCAAATAGTAACTTCTGTCTTCTTACTTCAGGCTGTAAATCTAACTTACACACTCCCACCTGCCTCCTAAGTTTCTTTCATTGGACATTTTTTGTGGAGAATCTTAAAACAAGTCAGTAAATCTGCATAGACAGGGCATCATTAGAAAGAATTAGTACATATATATTCCAAGTTAGTAATTAAAATCAATCACTATTTTTAAACTAGATTTCTTGTTTTATTACAAAATATATGCTTAGAAATCAAAGATAAGCTAAGTAAATAAATAAACAGTAGCCACAATCTCAACACCCCAAAATAAGTACAGTTAACATTTTGGTGGACATACAAGTCTTACAATTTTTTTTTTTTTTTTTTTTTTTTATAGAGGCATGCTTTATTTATTTGTTTGCTGGTTTGTTTGTTTGTTTTGTTTATACATGCACTGGGTACAGTCAGAAGCGCGGGAGGGTGAGAGAATTCACCAGAGCCAGAGCGGGGAGCAGAGCAGGCAGAAGGACCGAAGTACACTGCTGAGGGGAGCAGCGGGCGGCAGGAGAGGTCTGCACGCCATGTGGGACCCTCCTCTGGTGGCCGGGGAGCAGCCGGGGATCGAACCGGCGCCGCAGAGGCCGCGGTCAGCTTCGCAACCCAGCGCTCAACCGCTGCGCCACCGGGGAGGCCCAAGTCTTACAATTTATTTGATTTTTATTTAGTATGTATGTCAAATATATGTTTATAAGCCACTAGGTATTATTGTTTAACATTATTTTAAAATACCATTTTAATGTATTTAATGGCAATTATTATTTAATGGCATAATATACCATTGCATAGATATACCAAAATCTTTTAAATTATTATACCAGTTCTCATATTTTGACTTGTCATGTTATGCTTTATTTTTCACTATTACAAACAATATTGTGATAAAAACATTTTTAGCTACATTTGTGCTTGTTGGTAGTCAGATAAGTTTCCTATAAACAACAGAAGTTTGGGATTTCTTCTAAAACCTACACAGTCATTTAGACCTTTTAATCAGTGAATTCATACCTTCAAGGTTATTATTGAGACAGAGGTACTTACTGGCATTTTGGTTTTGGTTTGGTTTTCTCTTTTTGTTATTTGACACCTTCTTTTTATGTTTTGTTAAGTTGCATTTCCACTGTCTTAGATGTTACTTCTATTGATTTTTGTCTGGCTGTTTAGCTAAAATTGGTATATTATGGGCTATTTTTGTGCTGATTAAATGGTCTGGCCTCCATTCATGCTAACGGGTCATATTTTTACTCTCCTTCCCCACAGGCAAAATGTCGGTTCATTGTTTTATAATTTAGCTGTCAGTTACATTTATATTTGCTTTGTTGTTGCTTTATAATAGTCCCTTTGATACTTCCTTCAAGTCCAGTTCAATGTTGACATATTCTTTTAATTTTTGCTTTTCATTAAAATTCCTTATCTTCTTTTTGTCTTGAATGATGGTCTTGCAGGATAAAGTATTCTCGGCTGGAAAACTTTTTATCTGAGTGCTTTAAATGTCTTCTGCCATTCCCTTCTTGTCTGTAAGGTTCCACTGTTCACAGACAGTTCACACAGATCTATCCTTATAGATTTCTCATTGGCTCTCAACAATTTAATTACATGTCTTGAAGTGTATCAGTCTGGCATTATTTGGTATGGAATTCTTTGAGTCTCCTGGATCAATAAGTCTGTTTCACTTCCCAGACTGAAATGCTTCCTTAAATAATATTTTTTTTTTATTTTAAATTAATTTTCTCCTTCTGGAACTTTCATGATATGGTATTATTTCTCTTTACATTAACCCAAAGAACTGTTTTCATTTTTTCCCCTTTTTATTGTTTCATTTCTGTGTTCTCCATCAATGAGCTTGCTAATTCTCTCTGTTACTGGCATTTTTCTGCTGTTGAGTTCCTCTATTTTTTTAAAATATGATTATAGTGTTTTGGACCCGTTAGTTTTATAAAATAGTCCATATTTTCTCCAAAATCTTTATTGTGTTCCTGTTTTTGATCATCCATTGTTTTTCTTAATTCACCAAGCATGGTTATAACTGCTACCTTACACTCCCCATCAGGATAGCCTATAGTACTGCTAGATTGAGACTTCTCTGGGGATTTTTTTACTCCAGCATTTGTGACATGTTTTGTCTCTTTACTTTCAGTTTTTATGGGTAATAATAGGGAGTTTCCTTTATGTTAATAAATTGTTTTATACTTCTACAAGAAACTGGGCTTAATCCTAGGGTTTTGTTTTTTGGGTTTTTTTTTTAATCCAACGATCTTTAGATGTCTATTACTTCATAGATCATTGCCTTTGAACCTGTTCAGAGCACCTGGGCACTGGTGCCAGTAAGAAGTAATAGGAAGGAACTAGGGCAATAGGGGACCAAAAAGTCATCTCCAGGGAATATCAAGGGTTTAAGTTTCTTACTGCGCTGCCATCCCTGAGTTGTGTGGAGCAGAACCACAGTGATCCCCTCCCCTAGGACAGCTAATTGCTTAGCCAAAACTTCTCATACAGTCTCCTGCCAGCCTCAACCTTTGTGGTTGAGCAATGAGGACAGTAGTTGAGACAGGGTCACAGGCTGGAAATTGTTCCCTTCCTTAAAGAGCAGGGAACATTACCCTGGGGCAATTGCTCCTGCTGTTAAGATCTAGCTGCTTCAAGCCGGTTAGTGAGAACATTCAGTTGCATTCTGGTTTGGGCCCTTGATGGAGGTAAGGCTGATGTTTTACTATCACAGCCTTAGGCTGCAAATATAAGCTCTTCTGTGAGGAGACACAGATCACACAATCTGGCTCTTCCTACCAATTTGCACTTCAACTGTTCTAGCGTAGAAGCTTCAGGATCAAGTCAATCATCACTATTCTGCACCTTTATTCCTATAGTTCTCCAGTGATGTGCCCTCCATCCTGCAAGCAGACTCTATACACCCCTTTCTCCAATGTAAAGCCTGGTTTTAAAGTCCCCTGGTAGGCAGAGCCCTTGAATTAACAAAGTGGCTCTGTCCAGCAGAGGGGCTCTGTTCAGCAGCCACAACTCCCTCTGGTAGGTTGTACTGCCCTGGTATCATTCTAAACACAGTTCAATTACAATTTTTCATAGCCCTTTCTACTGTGTTGTTGCTCCTGATGTATGCAACAATCATCTATTTATCTTTCAGTGGTTGTTGTCTTGTTGTGTTGTAATTTGGTGGTGAATATGTGGAGGAGGTGAGCCAGCTCTTTACTCTGCCACCATCTTGCTGGACTTTGCAATTATTTTATTTTATTCTTATCATTTTAAGTAAGCAAAATTTTTCCTGCTCAAACTTGGGTGTCTTACTCTTTAAAGATAGTGGAATTCCTTCTCAAACTTGAGTTGCTCACTCCTAAAAGATAATGGAATTGGGCCTCCCCGGTGGCGCAGCGGTTGAGCGCTGGGTTGCGAAGCTGCCCGCGCTGCGGCGCCGGTTCGATCCCTGGCTGCTCCCTGGCCACCAGAGGAGGGTCCCACATGGCGCGCAGACCTCTCCTGCCGCCCGCTGCTTCCCTCAGCAGTGTACTTCGGTCCTTCTGCCTGTTCTGCTCCCCGCTCTGGCTCTGGTGAATTCTCTCACCCTTCTGCGCTTCTGACTGTACCCAGTGCATGTATAAACAAAACAAACAAACCAGCAAACAAATAAATAAAGCATGCCTCTATAAAGAAAAAAATAAAATAAAAAAAAAAAAAAAAAAAAAAAAAAAAGATAATGGAATTTTGAATGGCTGCCTGATCTGTACCTTACTCTTCTTTCATTCATAAGGAAAATACCTACTATGGCAGGCACAGTGCTGTGTGATAGCAATACAGTGGTGAGCAAGCTATTCAGTGTGTTTGTACTTATAAGCTTACAGTCTACTAAGAAAATTAGCTCATTACTATGCAAGTAAATAAGCTGCATAGCTCCAACTGTGTTAAGTGGCACCAATGTCTATACAAGTATGAGATATCTCTCTGTGGATATGAAGTTGGATCTGAGCAGTAAAAGCTATTCATGTGGGAGAGATGGAGGAAAAAGCACTCCAGGCAGAGAAGACAGATAAATTCAAGATCCTGAAGCAGGAAAAAGGTTAGCATGTTCAAGTACAGAAAGGAGTCTTTTTGAGGGAGTGATATTGAGACAATCTGTGATACATTTCTGTATTTGAATTATGAATTAAGGGTATGAATGTATTTCAATGAACTATGATTTTGCATTAAGTATAATCACAAATGTTGGTTATCACTTGCCTTAATCTCAGTTACATTAGTAATGTCACGAGAGTACTTTATTTGCTATATTTTTAATATATTACACTTTTATTAAATAATTTCAGGAAACTACTGCATTAGAATGGCATTTAGTTCTTAATAGCTAATTTTAGGTCTACCCAATCATTTCTAATAAGTGCTGTCTATATCTTCTCTACCCTGTAACTTACTCCACCCTCATTGGGACCTAAACTGTGATCAGTGGTTTCTATAGATGAGACATACCAAATTTTTACCAGCAATGCTAACTTCAAAAGAAAGTGAATTTGGGATTTCTTAACATTCTTCCCCCCCCCCAAAAAACAACTCTATTATCTCCAATATTCAATAGCGCCTGCTTGATTATCATTTCTGACTATATTACCTAAATATGAACTTGCTTTCCTTGGGAAGAAAAATCAGTGCTATGTGTAAAGGTCAACACAGCAAATGCCTCAAGAAATGAATACATGGAATGCTAAAAATTTCTGGAAATGGAAACACTTACTTAGATGAACCTTCAAAATTGATATTTTCCCACTTGAAAAAGAATGATTTTGGGGTATTGACATGGATATTAAAACTTTAAAAGAATGGCTATAAATAAAGTATGCTAAATAAATTAGTAAACAAAGAAAAACTCTATCCTAATTCCTAGATTCATAAATTTTCAATATTAAATTCCAAAGAACTATCTAGAAACAATTTTAACTTATATTAACTAAATTAATATTAATCTTAAAAGGAATATTCGTATGAGGCATGGAGCAATGCTTTGCTGCAGCTCCACTGTAACTGGAGTAACACCTTTAACCTACATTTTGTCCAACATGCGATATGCTCATGCTCCCAGCTATGATATGGTGGTCAATAATGATGGTTAGTCTATCAATGGCACATGTTTGTCAGATTTCTCAACCAAACAAATATTTGTCTCTTTTTGATCCTAACATAAAAGTCAAAGTCAGATTTATCTCAAATCCTAGTTATAGGCTATTAATGATTAAGAGAGGCAATGTGACAGATCCCATGCCTAGATAACCATTTTGTAGGTAAAAGTTTGGGAAGAGACATTAACTCTTTTGGGTAAAAAAGAATGGTTCACTCACTTAATCAATCTCTGAGTTAATTTAAGATGGTAAAATAACTCATACATGACTAATTAAACTGTCCCTAATTGTTACAGCTAAAGGATCTCACAACATCAAAAGGAAGACATCAGACCATTTTATTGAAACATCAATTCCATTTAATTCATTAAATCACCAATTATTAACTTCTAACTTCTGCTTTAAAGAAATTTTGTAATCATGTGTCCTACTTTAACCAAAAACTATGGATAAGTATTGCTCCACACTTTTAAAACTTGGAATAAAAACCAAGTACATAAAGCAATTTATTAAATAGTAACATTGTGACTTGAAAGAGTTAATGCAACAACCCTAACATCTGCTTTATAACCAGAGAGTTTATTTACCAGAGTAGGTTGGCTAAATAAAAATTGTAGCAGCTTCTCCAGAATTTAATTTTTTAAGAACATTATTTGAAGGAGGTAAGATCTTCACTTAAAAGGTAAAGTCGTATACCTGGGAATGAATGGAAATTTTTTTAAGTGATTACTGGCTTGTATTTTGCCAGCATTAATTATAGATGATTTTTCAAATTACTTGAATTGCTTACATGAGATCTAAATTATAGCAATAAATCTATAGAACAGTCATGACTACTTATATTTTAAATGTCTAATATTTTCAGATTCTCTTCAGCTTAGCTCAGAAGCATTAATCATTCACTTAACTGTAAGTAGGTTAAATGTTTTTTGATGTATTTACCTTTTTTCCTTTGAAGCTGAGGGTACCAAGCTGCTCCAGGCCCCCATAATACAAGCACATAATGTTGACCTTGGGACTGTTCCACTGTTAACATAACTTTCCTTTGCTTCTGTCCTCTATAACTGTATAATGCCTCTGAAAAGAAAAAGGAATGTTTTAGTTGGCATTACCATGTTTTACATGTCATATAATACTTCAATGTCTAATGATCATGATAACCAAATGGTGCACTAAGATGGTCTTTAAACTTAAATTTTTTATAATGTACAATTAAGGAGGTGCCCAAAATGTTTACCTGTTAATATAATGATATCAACAACTCTTAGTACCGCATGGACCAATGTGTCAGGTTGAAGCTGCTCCAATTCTACAAATTCTATACTGTTGATTTTCTGAGGCTGCCTTTGAGGAAGATCTCTGAGATAGGAATGTTTTGAAGACACATACGCCAATAAATCTTGAAGTACAGTATCACTAACCACTTTGGAATCTAAGAAAGAAAGAAAACATATGCCTGTAAGTGAAATTACTCTCCAAAATATTAGTCCTGTTACCTTACTGACCTATTTTGTTAATGATACCATTTTTCCACCAATTACCCAAGACCACTACTTCTCTTATTTTTTGACTCCTCCATTACTTGTTATCTCCTATCGATTCCTTAGTCTTGGGAATTTGACTTGATCATGTCTTTCCCAACTATCTCAATTACTGCCATTCTTCCCCAAGATCCTTATCATTTCACATCTGAAATATTCTAAGAGTTGTCTAACTGGCAATTTTCCCCAAACCTGTCTTACCCATTCTCATTTTTAAGCCTCTTGTCTCAACATTTGCACTGGCTGCAACATGGTGATTCTCCTTTCTAACTATCCAACTCCCAGATAAAATAGCAACCACTCTAGGTTCCCAGTGATTTCTCCCTCCCCTCAACATTGAGAGCTTTTGTCTTTAACTCTCATTTGTCATTTAAGCATATGCTACATTATAATAATCCTCTTAATTATGAGATCCATTATTTAATTCTTCAGTCATTATGCCATCTAGATGTTTTTCTCTTTCCTGTCCCAATTTTTTCTCATTTTTTACTAAGGTATACTTTACATAAAATAAAATGTACACATTTTAAGTGTACAGATTAAATTTTAATTTCCTTAAAGGAAAAGGAGGTATGTTTTTTTTTTAAAGATTTATTTATTTATGCATACAAGAACTGGGGTGCAGGCCAGAGATGTAGGGGGTGAGAAGATTCACCAGAGACAGGAGTGGGGAGCAGAACAGGCAGATCTACTGAAATACACTGCTAAGGGGAGCAGTGGGCCAGACAGGAGAGGTCTGCTGTGCCATGTGGGTCAGCTCCCTTGCAGAGGATCGAACTTGTGCTGCTGTGGCTGCAGACAGCTTCATAGTGGTGTGTCTTAACCCCTTGCACCACCAGGAAAGCACCAGGAAAAGGAGGCGTGTTTAAATAAGGCTGTTGACCAAAGTAAGATATCAGCAAAAAAAAAAAATTTAAGTATTTTAGAAAGCAAAGTCTATTAACTGATAACAGTAGAAAAAACAAATCATTCTTCTTTTCTTTCCTATTAACATTCTCAACCTCATGTATTTCTTATGCCACTCTAACACCTCATTATTCACTCATTCATCAATAAATCATTTCACTATGTGCCCGGCACTGTACCAGGTGCTGAGAATACAAGGACATTTCATGTCACGATCCCAACGTTAAAGGAATTATCAACACAAAGATAATAAGCAGTGGACTTGGGAGTATAAGAGATATGTGTAAACATTCTTAAAAACTTGCAAAAGAACTGCCTAGGGAAATTGGAAAATTTATTGACAATATCTAAGCTAGGTTTTAGGAAAAATGTCTAAGAGTTTTTATGGAAGTAAATGGAAGAGGGGGACATATTTTTCAGTTAAAGAGAAGGGGGTTGTAATCTTTTATGTACCATAGATGCATTTTGTAATCTGATGAAGCATGTGGACGCATTATTAGAATATTTTTATAACAGTTTGATTAAGCTGCAACTCACATGTCTAAAATTTACTTTTTAAAGTATACAATTCCATATTTTTTATTATTTTAAATTTGTGCAACTATTATTATCTAATTTAGAAAATTTTTAGTATAGAATAATATTTTAACTGCATATAATGAATAGGGCTGCAAAACCAGTTATATGGAAATATAGTAATCAAAATATTTTTTAAACTGTGAGATAATTTACTTACCTAATTAACACATTAAGTAACAAGATATAGCAGAGTATCTAATGACTACTATAATTTCAAGGTAGTGACATACAAAATGATACCCAAGTTATCTTCAAAACTGTTATGTGATATGAAAATATACAGTTACTATTTGTGACCAAGTCACAAGTAGCACTAATATTAATGTGAATTGTTGCCTTATCCATAATGAAAGAAACTGTTAATTTTCAGTTAGCAATTAGTGAAAATAAGATAAAATATCCCATCCAAGTTTATGAACACTTCAGAGGAATCAATTTCCCAGAAAAGAGTGGAAAGATCATTTAAAAGCTAGTGACCATCCAGCAGGAAATAATGAGTTTTGGAAACCAAGCAAGACTGCCTGAAGAGGGAAAGATGACAGGATTGTGAAATAATTCAGGGGTACGCTACAAGGTAAAATGAGATGTGGAAGGTAAAGAAATGAAGATTAAAAATGACATTCAGTTTTCTAGCACAGATGAGTGGATGGATAAAAAATAAACACAACAGACAGAACTAAACCAAAACAAACCCTAGAAATCTGTAGAACTGAGGATACCAGAGTGGGAGGATGTGAGGAGGCACGAAGGTGGGGGGGCAGTGACCTGTGGTGGAGGATCACGGTGCTTTTCTGAGGGGTGTGGTACAGTAGCATACACATGAAGGGGTATGAGCCTATGCCACTAGCTCATGTACAGTAATGTAAAACAGTGCTACCTCGACAAGTAATACAATTTTTAAAATAATCTTTTAAAGATTTAAGAACCCGATACATGAAATACATTCTAATTAAGATTATTCACTTCCTATATGTTTTATAAAATAATAGTGATATCAAAGACAAAGATAATGCGCATAAGAGAAAGGAACAGACAGCATGAAAAATCAATGAGACAGAAGGGATGAGTGGAGATAAGGCAAGCAATTAGATTACAGCAAAACCAACTCCAAATATCCCCTTTCACAGCTCCAGTGTATCCACCAGGCCTCCTGAGTCCTCTTTCACAGTACTGCCAGCTAGGTTCAAATTCTGATTTTGTCAATAAGTTCTGTGAATTTGTATATAGCTGTTCTGGGCTTCATTCTTTGTTTACAATATGGATCTTTTGGGGAGGAAAAAGATCTTTGATATCAAATTACCCCTATTTTCATAAAAAGTTGTAGAGAATGATTATTTTGATTCCAAATAAAATAGTCTACTTCACAGAAACATTGTGTTAAACTTTAATTTGCGTATTTAACAATATTTAAGATGCATTTACATCCTATCACATTATCAGGACTAGGTTTGTAAACTATGTAGCAAATGAATAAAGAACAGAAGACTTTTGGGCCTCCCCAGTGGCGCAGCGGTAGAGCGCTGGGTTGCGAAGCTGCCCGCAGCCTCTGTGGATGCGGTTCGATCCCCGGCTGCTCCCCGGCCACCGGAAGAGGGTCCCACATGGCGCGCGGACCTCTCCTGCCACCCACTGCTCCCCTCAGCAGTGTACTTCGGTCCTTCTGCCTGCTCTGCTCCCCGATCTGACTCTGGTGAATTCTCTCACCCTCCCGCGCTTCTGACTGTACCCAGTGCTTGTATAAACAAAAAACAAACAAATAAATAAATAAAAACATGCTTCTATAAAAAAAAAAAACAAGACTTTTCTAAAAGTATTACATATTGACCAGAAGAATGTTCTCACCTATTGTAACTACTGCAGAAACAAACAAAAAAACCTAACCATATAGATTTACTCTTTCAGAAGAAAAACAATGGCAATATTTTTAAAGTACAACTGATACAACCATCTCACTAAGTCAAACAACAAAAAACTTAGATAAAAGCCTTTTTTAGCTACTACAATGCAGAAAAACAAGGCAATACAAATATTTCTCTGTAAATATAAAAACAATGAATGAAGTAACCTCTAAAGGTTTTCTAATTAGTTCAAGGTTTTTCACATAGTTCGGCAAAACCCTAAAGCTTTCCATGGGTCCATAGGGCAGTCTTCATTCAGAGATCACTGAACTAGATCACCTACACTTAAATCTAGATCAGTCTGTTAAAGCCAGAGCTATTTACAACATGCATCTTTTAAATACCTTGGAAAATATTTGATAACCATCTTATTTTCTTAATTTCAAAGCATGCCGTACTGTTCCATTGTATCAACATCTATAACATACAGTAAATTTTCATTAAAAGCCATTGGTAAGATGTGGCAACTTCAATTATTCATAAGAGACTAAACAAACCTTTTAAAGAAATTCCAAACTTTTTTTTTTTTAAAGCTTGATTACATCTTAATGAATTCTTTTTTTTTTTTATTTGTTTGTTTGTTCTGTTTATACAAGCACTGAGTACAGTCAGAAGCGCAGGAGGGGGAGAGAATTCACCAGAGCCAGAGCAGGGAGCAGAGCAGGCAGAGGGCCCGAAGTACACTGCTGAGGGGAGCAGCGGGCGGCAGGAGAGTTCTGTGCGCCATGTGGGACCCTCCTCCGGTGGCCGGGGAGCAGCCGGGGATCAAACCCGCGCCGCAGAGGCCGCGGTCAGCATCGCAACCCAGCGCTCAACCGCTGCGCCACCGGGGAGGCCCGAAATTCCAAACTTTTAAAGTTGAGCAATTTCAAATGGCCTAAACCACATTGTTTTTAGTTACTATATACTAATTACTATATACTAGCTACTATATACTAAATTCTAATCTCTGATAGTACAAATTTTTCCTCCCTGCTCTCCTTTTTCAAAATACCTGGCTGTTTCTTTGCCATTTATTCTTTCACATATCAGAATAATCTTATAAAATTTCATGAAAATCACATTGGGAATTTTATTGGATTTGCACTGAATATATTGATCAACTTGGACAACTCAAATGTTCATAGTATTAAATCTTTCAACCAAGGGACAAAGTATATATTTATTTAGTTCTTTAATTTCTCTCAATTTTTATATTTTTCCTTTAACAATGAAACTTAAATTTATTACCAAATACTTAGTACCATATGGTAATACTGTAATGGTGCTTTCTCTTTCTTCTTCAAGCATTACAAGTGTTAGTTACTCCACTCTGTAAATCACCTGACTTATACCCATTCATCTTGCAGAAGTTTCTCATTATTTCTAAATATTTGCTTATAGTTTTAAGAAGGGGAAGATTTTATGTAATCCATCATATCATCTTCAAATGACAATGACAGCTTTTTCCAATCTCTCCGGAAATTTTTTTCCCTGCTTTATTGCACTGGTTAGTATCTCCAATATAATACTGAATAAAAGCAGCAGTAGCATCCTGGAGGAAGGATTCTTTTTTTTTTTTTAAGATTTATTTATTTATGCTTCCAAGATCTGGGGTACAGGCCAGATGTGTGGGAGGGTGAGAGGATTCACCAGAGACAGAGTGGGGAACAGAACAGGCAGACTGGCTGAAATACACTGCTGAGGGGAACAGCAGGTGAGACAGGAGAGGTCTGCTGTGCCATGTGGGTAGCTCCCTGGCCAGCCAGGGATCAAACTTGTGCTGCAGAGGCTGCGGATAGCTTCATAGTGCCATGCTTAACCCCTTACGCCACCAGGGAAGGCCCCCTGAAGGAAGGTTTCTAATGGTTCTCCAAACAGGAAGATACTGGCACTTGATTTTTTTACAGGTACTTTATGAAGTTAAAGAAATTTCCTTCTATTTCTAATAAATGGGTGTTTAATTTTATCAAAAGTTTTCTTTGTATCAATGAGATGACCCTATGACTTTTTTCTTAAATGTTACTTTTACAAATATTTGCAAAAAGAGTAGAGGTACCTAATATCCCTTACACAATGTCCTCTAACATGAACATCTTACATAATCATAGAGTAATTAACAGAAAATTAATTTTGATTAAATATTATTAACTGAACTACAGATCATATTCAAATTTTACCAATTTTCCCACTAGTAGCCTTTCTCAACCTAGGATAATATCCAGGACTATACATTACATCTAGTTTTTATTTTTCTTTAGTCTCCTGCAATTTGTAATATCTCATCAGTCTTATCTTTCATAACCTTGACACATATGAAGAATATTGTTTTGTAGACTGCTCCTCCATTTGGGTTGTTCCTATTTTTTCTCATGAAAAATAAGGTTATCCAATTTTTGGTAAAAATACCACAATAATTATGCAGTTTCCCTCTCAACGTATCAAAGCAAAGCATTCATGATATCCATATATCTTAATTCTGATATCTACCTTAACATTTCTTACTATAATAACTCTTTATATAAGTCAATAACTGAAATTCATGTTCATTTTATTCTATTTTACTTACTGAGGCAACATTGGTTTACAATACAATATATGATTTAGAGGTGTAAGATCTTCCCTACAGGTGTATGTTACCACACCACACCCACTGCCAAGGCACCCAGAGCCCCCCACCATAGTGCACTGTGCCCCCTCCCCACTTTGCTCTCCCTCCTCACCCTCCCCAACCTGGTAGCTTCAATTCTACTGTCAGATTTGTAGGGGTTTTTTATTCATTTAGATTCATTTGTGTCTTTATTTTAAACCTTCCTTCTGAGTCCTGGACTTTGTTTCCAATCCCTACATGACCTCTCCACTTGGATGCCTCAAAGATATCTAAAATTAACTTGCCTAAAACAGTTCCCTTAATTTCTCTCATAAACACACTCCCCTCAGTCCTTCCTAGTAAGATCTATCTGGTTACTGAAATCAGAAATATAACAGCAATAGATTGCTCCTCTCCCCTTATCACCAAATCCACCCCATAAGAAAAACCTATTAAATCTATTTAGATCTATATCTCAAATTCACCCATTTCTGTCTCTGCTCACTTTCCATCATCTCTCAACCTCGTTTAATGACAACTTCCTAACTGCCTGATTCCATTCCATGACCAGTGCTCACAACCAGAGTCAAGGTGCTTATATATCAGCCTTTTGTTAATTTCTTTCACAGCATTATCATCTGCAAAGATTTTATTTGCATGTCTGCTTAGTTTTTTCTTCTCTGCCTTCCACACAGGACTGTGCAGTCCATGAAAGCAGGCATCAGGTGCATGTTATTCACCAACATGGGCCCAATGCATACTGCCTCAGTGTCATCATTTAATACATACACACTTAGGCAGATAAAGAATTTCTTTTCAAGTTATTTCATGAGAAAATGCTAGTGCTGATTTTCTACAAACTAACTTCCCTGGGATTCAGGGAAAACTTACCCTTTCGAAATACCATTATTGTTTTAATTGTTGTTCTTCACTTCCTTTTACTTTGTCTTTGAGAATTCTTATTATCCACAGGTTGTCATTCGATGCTGCATCTTCCACAAATGTCACATAACTTTCCTCTTATTCTAATAATCTCTTATATAATCAGTACATTTTCCGAGCTATTTCTCTAAGACACTATTTCTATATTCTATCAAATACATTTTACTAACATTGCTCTTTCCAAAATATATACAGACATGACATACCTATATATATTAGGAAAGAGTTAAAATTGTTATTTATAGTATATATAGTATATAATAATTATGATATATATAATTTAAATACTAAGAAAATATCATATTCAAAATATGTCTTACATTCTTTAGGCTGGACAGACGAATAACAACCAAGATTTAATAACTGACTGGTAAATGTTGATTGTAGTACTGTCTCACCAAGCCAATGATCCTCACGAATAGTAACATCTAGAAAGGAAAAAATAAAGTTCTGATCATGCAATAAATTACTTCACACTGTGAGTGATCAGTTAACTTATTAATCATAGCAAAATATTTTGTATGCCTCTAACATGAAAGGCAACTGAAGTTCAAATATGTTGAATGATATACCGAATAGCACAAAGTGACAAAATAGTAAATCCAAAATCTGAACCTAAGTATGTCTGTATGCAGGTAAATTAACAAAATTGTTCTGTATATTCAAACAGTAATAATACAGAAATTTACTCCTTCTACAGAGCCCATGTTAATTGTTTTTGTTTGCATAAGGTAAACATTATATATATATCCTGATAAACTAAATCTGTTAGGGCCGGAAGCAAAGTAGTGGTTTCAAATTAGAAGAATAAATAATATTCAGTATGCATTTAGCCCTTCTGTTATAAATGTATATAAATACAATAAAAAGCATTTTTTAAAGGAATTCATTACCATAAATAATATAATATGGTAATCATCTTCCATAGATGTTAAAAATGAAAGATTTTAGAGGTATGGAATACTTTCCAATGGGTAAAGGGAGCTGAATGATCTAAAATGTACAGAAAAAAATCATTGAGTGGAACTAAACTAACAGGTAGAAACAATTCTAGGTAGAGCAAAAATTCTGCATTAAAGAAAGACAAAAACAGATCAATCCCAAGCAGAATATAATCAGTGTATAAAATATTAGTTACATACAGGTAGACTTTATGTAGCAGTAGTAAAATAATTCAGACAATAAAAAAAAAGAGGGGGGCCTCCCCCGTGGCGCAGAGGTTGAGCGCTGGGTTGTGAAGATGCCTGCAGCCTCTGCATTGCTTATTCGATCCCCGGCTGCCCGGCAAGGGTCCCACATGGCACGACAGACCTCTCCTGCCGCATCCGCCGCTCCCCTCAGCAGTGTATTTCACCAGTCTGCCTGTTCTGTTCCCCGCTCTGGCTCTGGTGAATTCTCTCACCCTTTCACGCTTCTGACTGTACCCAGTGCTTGTATGATTAAATAAATAAATAAATCTTTAAAAAAAAAAAAAGGAGTAACAAGGAAAAGCTTCTTAACGAGAAGATGAGTGAAAGAAGGAAAAATTCAGGTTAGAACACAGCCCAGAAAAGGTAATGCAAAGGATACTGGCAGCAATGGGGATACCACCACTTATGCTATAGCGATCAAGGATGCTGCCTATCAGAGGTAAACGGTAAACAGCCCCCAAAGGCTTAAAGTAAGAGGGGGAAAAAAGTCCAGTTTCATAAAAAATTAATGACCATTATACCATGATAACTCACCTGTGAGTAATATTATGTCTCCAAGAAACACTGTAAGTGCCCAAAATGCTGCAGTCCTCCACAGGACAACCTTCTTCTTAATTTCTGATTGGTCAATTACTACAATTGTTGCCAAAGGCACTGTAGAGCCAGAATTTGGTCCAGATTTTATATTTATTTCTTTCACGTGACATGGAGATAACACCATGACTAAACAATTATACTTCTGACTTTCAGATTCACAGTTTTTTATTAAAGATGTTTTTTTAATACTCTTAAATGGAGACACCTTCCTCTGGTCCACTGCTACAGTCAGACCTATAGCAGGAGCTCTTGCATCAGAAATCAACTTAACTTTCTTAGATATCTGGAGGTCTTTAGAGAGAGATTTAGAAAGACCCAATTTATCTTCAGAGGTCCAACTCCTTTTGATAGAACTTTTGTGGAAGGTGTTTAGTTGGGAACACAGTATTCCTGAGTTACAGGACTCAATACATACTTCATTTGGTGGCAGTTTATCTTCAGAAGTGGAAAGTTTTTGAGACCCTGTATTTTCTTCAAGACATTTAGCTGAGTTTATGTAACTGTGGCTGCTTTCCGTTTCAGGACAAACAGGACTAAAAAGCTCAAGGGAACATGCTTGGTTTTCTTCACTTTTACCTTTTTCTGCAAAATTATCATCAGGTTGAATCAAATTATCTTCAGTTACTCTTATTTCCCCCTGCCTTGACTTTGGTTCAGTCTCCGAGTTTATGGTCCCTGCATTCATAGAATTCAGTCCTTTATACTTGTTTTGAGCTAAAAAAGCAACCTGACTGGAAGTCATTATACTGAGAAATTCAGTATCTGTAGACACTGAAACCTTCTCGGCTGTTCCCACAGATGTTTGCTCATCTGTTGTGTTGGAGGGAAACTCAAGACATGGGCGCTGTGATTCGTGACGTTCTGTTGGTATAGACTCCGTCCAGACAGTTTCTGGCTTTGCATTAATCTGTTCAGGACTACAGACCGAATCCAACGGAGTGACACACTTATTAGCTAACGGAAAAGAATACTTTTTAAAGTTCTGACCACATATATCAGACTGATCTTTTTGTTGTTCATCTGTGATTGTTTTCCTTTCACTGAAAAGCTTTTGATACTTGTCTTCTTCAGTTAAATGCTGAGCTGGGCCCTTAAATCCACATTCTTGCATATCAAAATTAGTTATACCACTCATCCCACAGGGATAAATCTGGGATTTTATAGTCTGTGTTTCAGAAATACAAGGTATAAAGTCGCCATTCACATGAAGGGATGTAGTCATAGAGTTTGCTAAGAAATGACCATTAGGAAGATCTGGAAGGCCAACAGCATCTAGAACTTGAGAGTCTTCAAGGTTTTTATGCTTGCATTTGTTATCCTTCAGCTGTAAATAATGTTGATTGTATAAAATTTGAATTTGTTTCCAGGGGTCAGCAGTGGATGTCAAACAAGGTGGTTCCAGTGATACTGTCATTTTCAATGGACCAACTGGAGCCCCCCAAAAAATGTGGACTTGAGATCTTCCATTCATGGTTTCTGAAAGAAATGAAATATCTAAGTAAGTATTTTGTCAATATCTTTTACACACTGATAGTAAGTTAATGTCAAAAGCAAATACAATATAAACTTTTAACAAAAACCACAATTATAATAGAGATAATTTATTCTGTTATACTATTTAATTATAAAATTCATAAATATACAGGAAGTCATAGGAAAAGTCAAAATAGCAACAAAAATATTCACATAAAGACTTTTTAAGGATAAAGCTAAATAACACAAATGAATAAATAAATTCTTAGTTTATAATTTATAAGAATTTATAAATTCTTATAATTTATAAGAACTAAACAAACTAAACTAAGAATTTTTAGTTCTTATAATGTATAAGCACTAAATATACCTTATGCATAACTTATACCTTATTTAAATAACAAGTTAGTAAAGAAGGGGAAAAGGCATTATTAAAATTGTATTATTGTCACATTTAAATTTCTTATTCTCTTAACAGCACAAATTATTTTACTATGTTTAGGACCTCTTTCCTTCAACTCAATTTCCAAGACTTAAGTAGAAGGTTCAAGCAAGAATGCAGAGAAAATAAAAAACTGAGACACTCTTCAAAATGTACAAAAGACTATTACCTATTTCTGTTAAAACAACCAACAATTACTTCTGTATTTTTTAATTCCAATCTGTTAGCACAATCAGTAATTGCTTCTAGGTTTTTTAATCTTCTCTAAAATAAAAATTCAAGGATAGAGAGAAAAGTCAGTTTATAAAATATGAATAAAAGAAGTTCATTATAATGAAAAAACTTTTTTTACTAACTGTGACACTTAGTAAAATTAAATCTAAATAAGCATCATGAGGGGCCTCCCCGGTGGCACAGCGGTTGAGCGCTGGGTTGCAAAGCTGCCTGCAACCTCTACAGCGCTGGTTCGATCCCCAGCCGCCAGGCAAGGGTCCCACATGGTGCGCAGAACTCTCCTGCCGCCCACCGCTCCCCTCAGCAGTGTACTTGTCAGTCTGCCTGCTCTGCTCCTCGCTCTGGCTCTGGTGAATTCTCTCACCCTCCCGCGCTTCTGACTGTACCCAGTGCTTGTATAAATAAATAAATAAATCCTTTTTAAAAAATAAATAAATAAATAAGCATCATGAAAAGTCCAATAGGAGTATGCAGATAATGAGGGATAAGCCAAGAAATGACAGCTATAATTCCTAGACATTTTTAATATTCTTTAGTTCATTCATTGTCACCTCTTCTAAAACTAATAGCATACTCACTCATTAATAATTTATGTGATTTCAGTATCAATGTGGATGAATTCCTTTCAATGCTCTGGCCTCTTGGTTACTTGACCTCCTCTACTTCTAATTCTTCCTCTTACTTCAATTATTTATTTTCGAAATATACCTTACCATTATCAATAACTACACATCCTTGCCTAATTTCAAGCTTATGTGTTTTTTTTTTAATAGAGGCATGTTTTATTTATTTATTTGTTTGTTTGTTTTGTTTATACATGCACTGGGTACAGTCAGAAGCGCGGGAGGGTGAGAGAATCCAGAGCCAGAGCAGGGAACAGAGCAGGCAGAAGGACCGAAGTACACTGCTGAGGGCAGCGGGCGGCAGGAGAGGTCTGCGCGCCATGTGGGACCCTCCTCCGGTAGCCGGGGAGCAGCCGGGGATCGAACCGGCGCCGCAGAGGCCGCGGGCAGCATCGCAACCCAGCGCTCAACCACTGCGCCACTGGGGAGGCCCTCAAGCTTATGTTTTCATCTTGAACTATTATCTTCCAATTTACCCCCCTCCAGCTGCGCAACGTCAACAACTTGTTGATCACATGGGACCTACAAGAAACGCACTGATAATACCACACACATTTTTACAGCCTTACACTTCATTTCCCTGCTTAGATTTCATGGTCCATTATTATAAATACTACCTATCATATATCTCTAATTTTATTGCTCTCCTCTCAAAGGTATTTGCACAGCTGAACTCAAACAACTGGTTGAATAATCTCTTAGTCTGCACCTGTAGCTAGAAGTAACAAGAAAATAACACATAATCATCAGAAAATAGTCCCATTTTAAATTCATTACTACTAACTTCAAGGGGGAACCTAGCAATCTTATCTTTCTCTCTGCATTTACTCTCCAATATAACTTTTACACCTATACCTTTTTATTATTTAAAAATAAATAATCTCCTCTCCAATCCAAGATCTCCTCTCCAATCCTCAAGTGGTGACTACCCCTATACTCTGGCAGGAAACCATGCCACCTACTTCTATTTACTAGTTCTCAGCACACGTTTACAAACCCAAGTTGCTAGTACCTATGTACTTAGCTACTTTCCTGTTACTGTGGATGAAATTCCATGCTTCAGATCTTATTCCCTTTTTCCCAGGCAGAATCCAATTCTCCCCTCCTCAACTACATCACTAATTTTTCTTTCTGTACTAGGTCATCTCCATCAACATACAAATAGACTGTTATTTTTTTTTTCATGCTGTTATTTCTTGTCTCCCTTATCTCTCTACCTATTGCACCATTTTTCTGTTCTTTTATAGCAAAGTTCTTGAAAGAATAATCTACACTCCCTCTTCTCACTTTCTCTCCTAAAACCACTCCAGTCAGGCATTGATTCAAAATGCTCCACTGAAATAGCATATTTCATGGTTTCCAACAACCTCCACATTGTCATCAGTCAACTCTCCATTTTCAGCCTATCAGCAGCATTTGACATCACTAATCATTCCTCCCTTCTTGAAACACTTTTTTCACTTGGCTTTAGAGCTACTTCATCCTCCTGATTATATTCCATCTCAAACTATCTCATCAGCTGCTCCTCAGTCTGCTTTCCTAGCTTCCTCATCTTCTTGCTGAAGGGCCCAGTATTTGAATCTCTCTGTATTCTCTCTCCCTAAGTACTTAAATTCAATCTCAGGGCTCAGAAAACCTTCTATACACTAATGACTACCATGCTTACATCTTCATCACCACCCCTCCTCTGTACTCCTGACTACTTATCCAATTTTCTTCTTAGTCCTCATTGCAATGAAATGTCTAAGAGGTATCTGTGCAGAAGGAGTTAACAGCAGGCCCAAGACAACAGTACTTAAAAAGATCTGCTTGCAAGGTGAGTCTCTGGCTGGCATCTGTGAATTTAGATTTCAAGAGGGTTCCCACCATGCCTTGATTAGAATGACTCACTGTGCTTAAACAGTCTATGTAAACAAAATCATGATGATCAATTGTGTTTCTTCTGAGAAATTGGAATTTCAGGATTAATATATGGCAGAAAAAATAAGTCAGTGAATTACATGTCAACATGGATACATCTTACAAACATAATTTTTAAAAAATAATTTAAAGGATATACAACTTGTGATGTTAATGTTGAATTTTATTATATAAGACACTAAATTATGGTTAGCTTTCAGCATGAGGAATGGGAATGTGACAGGCAAAGGGTGCACAGGGACTTAAACTGCACTGAATAAGTTTTAATTTTTTAATTAGTTTTGATTATAAAGGTGTTCCTTATATTGGTCAGAAATATTTTATAAAATAAAAAAATCCTAGAAGAAAAACATTGAGAAGTAAGAGTAAGGATGATTTTTTTAAAGATTGATATATTTTAAAAGTTTTATTATGATGAATAATGACTATGCATTATTTTCATAACAATCAAATCTTTTTTTGCTTGGAAACTCAGGCTTTTCTTTCACAACCTTCAAACAGAATATGTTCCAGTAGTTATATTACAATGGAGCTGAATCTATCATTATAGACTAAGAGTTGAGAACAATGATGAGAGTTAAGAACAATATTAGGGCCTCCCCGGTGGCGCAGCGGTTGAGCGCTGGGTTGCGAAGCTGCCCGCGGCCTCTGCGGCGCCGGTTCGATCCCCGGCTGCTCCCCGGCCACCGGAGGAGGGTCCCACATGGCGTGCAGACTTCTCCTGCCGCCCGCTGCTCCCCTCAGCAGTGTACTTCGGTCCTTCTGCCTGCTCTGCTCCCCGCTCTGGCTCTGGTGAATTCTCTCACCCTCCCGCGCTTCTGACTGTACCCAGTGCATGTATAAACAAAAAAAAAAAAAAAAAAAAACAAAACAAACCAGCAAACAAATAAATAAAGCATGCCTCTATAAAAAAAAAAAAAAAAAAAAAAAAAGAACAATATTAGCAGCTAAAACAAAGACACACTACAATTTTCAGTTGAAAATTGTAAAAAAAATACTGAATTATTACTAAGGAAACAGTTACTCTAAGTTCAGGTGTAAGTTTTGAACCACAGAAAAAAAATCAAAGAGGAGCTAAGCATCACTGTAATTACTGTAACCACATAGCTCGTAGAGTCCTCACAGAAAGAATAACCTGCATAAAAAATAGCTGGTAAATGAGATTAACTAATGTTTTACTATTTATATGTCATTATTAGATTGGTCACTAGGGGGCCCCAAACAGCACAGCAAAAACCAAACTCAAAAGATAACTCAAAACCAAGTGGAAGAGAAAAATATTACCCAATATGCAGGTGGGAAATACTCAGGTAAATTCCAATAAAATGCATTAAATTACTGTAATGAGCTCCTTTCTCTCAAATCTTGTACTTCTTACCAATAGATTCTTCCTTTTAGCGTCAAATCTTTGGGAAAAACAAAATTCCATGTTTCTTTGTTCTTATTTCCCATGCAAACATAACTTCTCCAGTCATTTTGCAATTATGCTTTTTACAGAGTAAATCAATGGCCTTTAACAGTCAGACCCAGGGCCTCCCCTGGTGGCGCAGGCGGTTGAGCACCCTGCTGTGAAGCTGTCCGCAGCCCCTGCAGCGCAGGTTCAATCCCGGTTCTGGGGAGGGTTCCACATGGCGCGGTAGACCTCTCCTGTCTGGCCCACTGCTCCCCTCAGCAGTGTATTTTGTCAGTCTGCCTGTTCTGTTCCCCGCTCTGTCTCTGGTGAATCCTCTCACTCGCTCGCGCATCTGGCCTGTACCCCAGTTCTTGTATAAAATAAATAAATC